AGAAGATTAGCCTGATAAGCCACCTCGCCAGCCTGGTCATGATATCTTTATGGTTAGTTTTATACTTAATGTTTATTGTCTAGCAATAATGACCTATCACAGTGTTGCAAAGATATTCTCTAGTGTTTTCTTCTAAGATTATAGTTCTGGGCTGTGTACTTTTATTAATAATCCTACTAAAATTAATTTTATGTCACCAGGAGGAGCTGAAATTCATGTTTTCGAAAGACTATGTGGCATTATTTTATATGCTGAACCTATCCACTTTCCTATAGCCCTTGACCCTTTGTGCCCTAATCATCTATGTAAAGATTGTCAAAAATAAACGGGGGAAAAAAAAGAAACATGCTGAACCCAAAGTCACTATGATTTTTTTTCTAGATGTCCAGTTTGATGATTCATTAAAAAGTGTTAATTTTTGTCAATGTGTAGGAAAAAGGCACTTAAGACTCCAAATATGTTACAAATTTGTTTATTCTGTCCTGTGTTCTGATACTTTTCATTTCATGTATTTTGAAAGGATTATTTTATGCTATACACATAGGACTGTTATGTCTTCTTCATAAACTAATGGCTTTTATCATTATGATAAATCTATGATCTCTACCTATAACAATACATTCTTCTTTAAATTCTACCTTTTCTATTTGCTTTCTATATGTATGAGGGTACCTGAAAAGGCTCATAAACAATGGAGCCTTTTGGGCCTGGAGTAGTAGCCTAGTGGCTAAGTCCTCGCCTTGCATGTACCAGGATCCCATATGGGGCTTGGTTCTAATTCCGCTGACCCTGCTTCCCATTCAGCTCCTTGCTTGTGACGTGGGATGGCAGTCTAGGACATCCTAAAACCTTGGGACCCTGCACCTGTATGGGAGACCCAGAGGATCAGCTCAGCTCTGTCCGTTGAAGCCACTTGGGGAGTGAACCATTGGACAGATGTTCCTCTCTGTCTTTCCTCCTTTCTGCATATCGGACTTTCCAATAAAAATAAACAAATCTTTAAAAAAAAAAAAAAGAAAGAAAGAAAGAAAGAAAAGAGCCCAGCGGCGTGGCCTAGCAGCTAAAGTCCTCACCTTAAACGTGCCAGGATCCCATATGGGCGCTGGTTCTAATCCCGGCAGCTCCACTTTCCATCCAGCTCCCTGCTAGTGGCCTGGGAAAGCGGTCGAGGACAGCCCAAAGCTTTGGGACCCTGCACCTGTGTGGGATACCCAAAAGAAGTTCCTGGTACCTGGCTTTGGATTGGCGCAGCACCAGCCATCGCGGCTCACTTGGGGAGTGAATCATTGGACGGAAGATCTTCCTCTCTGTCTCTCCTCCTCTCTGTATATCTGACTTTCCAATAAATAAATAAATCTTTAAAAAAAAAAAAGAAAAGAAAATGGAGCCTTTTGTTTTGGTGTAAAAATCTGAAATTTGTGCATGTTACCATGTTACAGGTCTTCAAAAGTTCATAAAGGTATATATTATGAAAAAAACTATAAAGATTTAAAAGTTGTCATGGACCAAATAAATACCTTTCATTTTGATAAACCTACCGAAGTACCATTTTATAGTAGCTTAAAAAAAAAAAAAGATTTATTTATTTTTATTGGAAAGGCATATATAGAGAGGAGAGAGAGAGAGAGGAAGATCTTCCATCTGAGGATTCACTCCCCAAGTGGCCGCAACGGTTGGAGCTGAGCCAATCCGAAGCCAGGAGCCAGGAACTTCTTCCAGGTCTCCCTTGTGGGTGCAGGGACCCAAAGTTTTGGGCTGTCCTCAACTGCATTCCCAGATCACAGGCAGGGAGCTGGATGGGAAGTGGGGCCGCCGGGATTAGAACCTGTGACCATATGGGATCACAGCGCATTCAAGGCAAGGAGTTCAGCCACTGTGCTATCGTGCCAGGCCCCATAGTAGCTTTTGAATGCTATTTGCCTTGTGTGTTTTCTATTCTTCTTTTTAAAAAAGACACTGATTTATTTTTATTTGAGAGGCAGAGAGATAAGAGACAGATCCTTAATCTATTGGTTCACTCTCAAAACAGTTACAGTGGCCAGAGTTGAGATGATGTCAAGCTAGAGCTCCTTCCGGTCCCTATGTGAGTGCAGGATCCCAAGGATGCAGGCCACCCTCTGCTGCTTTCCTTGTCCATAAGCAGGGAGCAGGGCCAGAAGTAGAGAAGCCAGCACATGAACCCGCACCCATGTGGGATGCCCGCAGAATAGGGCAGAGGATTAACCTGATGTGCCACCATGCTGGTTCCATATGAGCCTTTTAAGTGAATGTATACTAAACAATTTGTAGCTTGGTTTTGTTTTTTTGGAACCAAGTTGAGAATTTCAGTTTCTTAATTGTAAGGTTTACTGTAGTGTAGTTACTGCGATACCTGGATTTCAATCTCACATCTTGGTATTTACCCTCTATTCCTCTTTCCCTGCATTTGTTTATATCACAGAAGTGCTTTTTTATTTACTCCTCAATATTGATTTTAAAAGTATATCTTTCTGTAGTTTTTTTTTATTGTGCATATGCTAAAGTTTCCAGAGTTTAGTTCTGAAAAATTTTATGCTACTTTACAAATTTTCTAAGAAACAACTTATAATTCTGTTTTCTTGTGATTTGTACTTTCACGGTCTTATTTTGTTTCTATTTACGACATAACCACCACAGTTTATTACTATTTTTGTTTTAGACAACAAATAGTTTATAATAATATATGTAAAATTCTATTTAAAAACTAGATCTTTTATATCTATACATATATATATTTACCCTGTTTTCCTAAACTTCCTTTTGCACATATAAGAATTGGTCTAATTTTTCTTCAACAACAACAAAAATTTCTATGCTGTTTCTTATGTTTCCTCTAGACAAATTCCACTGTTATATGCAGGAAAATATTTTATTTTCATACTCGTTTGTGATGAATAATTTCATAGCATATAGGATTCTATGCTGACAGTTTTCCTTTTAGAGGTTTAAATATACCTATCAACTGTACAATGTCTTCTACAGTTTGCAGAGAAGTCAGCTGTCGACTGTATTGTTGTTCCTGTTTGTAATCTGTTATTTTTAAGATTTGCTCTTTAGTGCTAGCATTGTGGTGCCATAAATTGCTGTCTGCAACGCTGGCATCCTACACTGGGGTACCGGTTTGAGTGCACACTGCTCTGCTTCTGCTCCAGCTCCCTGGTAATAAATACACTTGGAAAAGGAGGAGATGGCCCAAGTACTTGGGCTCTGGCCACCTGTGTGGGAGACAGCGATGGATTTTTCAGACTCCTGGATGCAGTATGACCGAGTTTTGGCCATTGTAGGTACTTGGAGAGTGAAATGGCGGATGGGAATTCTGTCTCTTAAAGTCAGCTAACTAGCAGACAGCCAACCAACCAATCAGACAACACAGTGCAACACACTGGTTAAAAACTTCTGTCTGTACCATTTAATAGCTCATATATTAACTACAATGGGAAAAATAACGTCTAAATTTAGTGTAACAATTGGAAAAGTGATGTTAAGAATGATACTCTTGAAAAGCCTATCAAAAATGTAAAATAGTTCACTGGATACCACTTTCTAACAGTTTAGTATTCCTATATATATAAGAATACTGAAAATAACGCTGAAAACAAGCTCAACACAAAAAATTTAGAATATGACAACATAATCCACAATGGGGTACCATAAAATATGTACTAAAAATCTATGAACTTCAGAACAGATATTAAATGCAGAAAACAGAATAAGTATGTTTAGAAGAATCTAGAAGGATGTAAGAAGCTGTAAGTATTGAAGACCCCTCAAACTTGCTCATCTTATGTAAATAAAATAACCTTTCTAAAAAGACCTCTCAAAATTAGCAAGGCAATCAGAGAGGAGGGAAAAAAAGGATCAGGAAAAACTTCAGAAATCAGTACTTTAAAATTAAAAATCTTAGTTTTGGCTTAGACAGCACATTAGATATATATACAAATAGACCTAGAGAAATTACTGAATTGAAGTAAAAGGATACATAGTTGAGGAATATGAAATGGGTTAAGAAGACATGAGGACATGTGAAAAAGGAAAATGGGAAAGGGCAGTAAGGGATAAGAAGTTTTCAGGACTGTTGCAGATATGATTCCTCTGGTTCAACAAGCTTAATGAATCACAAACAGAAAAATCAAATGCTAAATAACAGACCCATTTTAGGGAAACTGTAGTACAGCAAAGACAAGATGTTAAAAGCAATCAGCAAAAAACATAATCATATACAAATAATACAGACAACAGGCCTTTGTGTTAAATAGCCTAAGAAAGCAATAGCTGTCAACCCACAGTTCTAGACTGAATTAAATTTACAAGTGAGGACAAAATAAAGCTATTTTTAGACAACATCTACAAGTATTTTAGACTCCTGAAAAAAGCAAATTAAGGATGCATGAATAGGACATTCTACTATCCTGTGAAGGACAGAAAGCAGAAAAATCTAGAATTTTCACAACAATAAGCAATCTTATACAACAAATAACTGTGCAATCCAAATGCTTTCAGTGGCCCACCAAAGAAACACAGACGAAAGAAGTAAGATAAAAGAAAGTATGGTTATAAAAGCAGTATAAGTTCATACAAACCAAAAATAAAATAGACTACATTAAGAGTTTTAAAAATTAGTAAAAATACCATAATCAATCACTCATGCGGTAGACCATACACCTGGGTTCCCAGTTGTGGCTTGCCAGGTATCTCAGTTACTCAACCAGTCAGAGGATAAAGGTACATTCTTTGCCTCTCAAATAAACACATTAAAGAAAAAAATGTTGGTCTTAAAACGAGAATACATGCTTCAGGTTCATCTACAAAAACTAATCCTTCCTAACAAAATTGATTGCCAAAACAAAATTTATCACATAGAATGTACTTCTACAATTAAGCTGAAGGTAACAAGGATAACTTCAGAACAAAAGAAAAAACTCACTTAACAATTAATAGATACCAGTTAAAATTACACAAACGTCTAGATAAACATGTCCTACCGATATAATACGATCTCCTTTTCTGAGCTCTCCACTTAGATCAGCAGGTCCTCCAGCCAAGATAAAGGAAATAAATATTCCTTCTCCATCTTCACCTCCTACAATGTTGAAACCAAGGCCTGTTGAGCCACGATGAAGAACAACTTTTCTAGGTTCCCTAAAAATTAAAAAAATATTGAATGCTTTGGAAATTTTATAAAGACCTACCAGAGAGAACTCCCAACTGGCAATTTTTATATTATTAGACTTCAAGGAAAGCTAGATGAAATGCAAAAGGTTCAAGATATTCTAAGCCTATAAATGAGACTACAGAAAATTTTATACATCTAATTTTATATAAAAGGTTTCAGTGTTAGAAAAACACCAGCTCAAAATAAAAAAGAGGAAAAAAAAACCAATTTGGAAACTTGATAACTTAATAAACAGCCATTAATCTATAAGTATGCACAGAGTGCCTTACTGCACATAATGCAGTCATATCCCTGACGACTTCTCTGAGTCTGTAAAATGCAGTTTTCCTTCATTTTAGGAAGGTTGTTTCTCTAGCACCAACAAGACAAATCACAACTAACTTAACCCATTCATAGCAATCCCATTCTTCTCGGCTACCCTGATTGATCCATTTCCAGGCTTTTCATATGAAATATAATGCTGAAGCCTCTATTACATTTATTTATTTAGTGTTAATTCTGAGATTCTCTATTGTTTCTCCCACGTTTAAAATCTCTGAAATACAACTTCCCACTGGTATTTTTTCATAACTGTTGGGAGTTAGACACAGTATGAACACCATTTACATCTTCTGGTAAGACCATAAAAAAACTAAGAAAATTTTGAATTTAATGAAATGCAGAGTATCATTTGATAATATTACTAAACAGTATATACTATATTTGCAAATATTTTAAAGTCTATTTTCTAAAAAATTCAAAAAACATTAGCCTTAATAATATTAAATACTTTTAAGGAATGAATTTTATGAATCCTTTCATAAAAACAGAATTTACCTTCTTAAACACATGTCTACTCAAAATTGAAAGCAGAATTTTTTTCAAACATTTAGTTTTTATTTGCAAGGCACAATCACAGAGAAAAGGAAAGGGAGAGGCAGGAAGATAAAGATATCTTTATCTTTATATCACCCTCCAAATAGCTGAATTGGCTAGGGCTGAACCATAGTCAGGACTCACCACCACATTTCCAGAACTTTCCTCTTTGTCTCATGAGCATTTTTGCCCCATTATTACAAGACAAGGAGAAACATTTGCTTGTATACTCTGGGCAGATACTCTGGTCCTAAGTCAGCCCACTCTTATTTAGTGTATTTTCACTTACAAAAAATTGCTTGTTGCTCTAGTAAACCTTTGCTCATCCCAGGATTCTTTCTTGTGGCAGCATCAAAGCTGGACACACTCTCTGGTAACATTTCACAAGTAGCCTACATAAGGTATTTAGCTAGAGTGATGAAAAATGATGAAAGGAGCACTGCCTGGAGAGTAATAGCCTTGAATATTCTTGTCACTAATAAATCAGAAAGCTATTCTTTGTGCTCATTTTCATTCCAACAGAAGCACTGAGGATCAGTTAAGTTTCCAATATTGCCAAACTCTGACGAAAGGAACAAAAGACAGTGTTACTTGTCCTTAAAAGAGATAATTTAAAAAAAAACCATTTACTCCTAAAGTTAGGAGTTTGACAAATAAAGAATAATGATAACAATGCTAATAATAAAACAATCAGATCTAAAATATTTTTGAATTTTTGCTCACCTCATGAGAATTCTTTCGGAGTAAAAAGCTAATTTATGAGCCTGGTGCCATGGCTAAATTGGCTAATCCTCGTTTTGCAAACCTGCGATTCTATACTGGTGCTGGTTTGTGCCTTGGCAGCTTCACTTTTCATATAGCTCCCTGCTTGTGGTCCAGGATAACAGTGGAGGATGGCCCAAGGCCTTTGAACAATGAACCTGTATGGGAGACCAGGAAGATGCTCCTAGCTCCTGGCTTCAGATTGGCTCAGCTACAACTGTTGTGGCCATTTGGCGAGTGAACCAGCAGATGGAAGATCTTTGTCTCTACCTCCCTCTGTAAATATGCCTTTCCCATAAAAATAAACAAAAGCAGCTAACCTACAAACTTTGATGAAGTTATTAATGTTAGTTCAAAGAATATTTTAGTTGTCAAGATATCAAGGCTATATACCAAAGAAAGAAAATATTGCTTGCTGAATTCTGAATATGAATCAAGTAATTGCTACAATATATTATTTTATCGCCCATATTAAATAAAAACTATACAAATTTAAAATATATAAGTACAGTCTTAGGTTGGTTATATTTAAGCTAATATCTAGGGACAGTTTACCAAGCCTAAAAAAATCATTAGGAAAGAAGCAGTATTTATTTACAATACAAAACGTTTTTATACTTTAGGCTCATGAATGAAGCATCTAATAAAAAAAGCTCAGGATTATTTATTTTAAATAATTTCAATATCAAAGGTTTATTTCAATAATAACAAGAACCACAAAGAGGTTGTACTATTAGTAAAAACTAGGAATGAAAAATGATAAAGCTACTCCTGACTATGCTTTCCAAGCACCCAAGTAAGCTACATGCTTCAGCTGAAACTTACAAAGGCACAGCACAAATTACATGAATCCTTCCAAAAGTGTCAAAAATTCTAATTACCTTACATGGCTAATTAAAATTTCATCTAACAGTTGAAGAAAGAAAGATGAATGAGGGATGTGGAACAGTGGATAAAGTGATGCCAGTATCCTGTATGGGTGCCTGTTCAAATCCAGATGCTCCACTTCCAGATTCAGTTCTTTCCTACTGTGCTTGGGAAAGCGGCATAAGTGTGTGGTCCCTGCACCCATGTGGGAGAGACCAATAGGAAGCTCTTGGCTTTGGGCTTGCCCAGGCCTAGCTACTGCAGTCATTGGAGAGAATGAAGCAGTGGATAGAAGAGCAATCTCTTCTCTCTTTGAAATTCTTTCAAATAAATACATAAACATATTTTCTTTAAAGGAACAATGTTAAGCTTCTCACCTTGTAATTTCATCATCTCCAAGCATTCCTTTAGAAACAGGGGAATATCTGGCTGGTGATGTGGGAGTCTGGCCCAAGTAGGAAGATGGGCTAACATGGTTGTCAACAGGCTGAGAAGAGGCTTCAAAACAAAGAGAATGCGATTTACTTAAAACCAAAAAGAAACAAGATACCCAGTATCTCATTTGTAAATTTTATAGTTAGCTGATGTATAATTCACATTTGCTTCTCTGTATATCAGAATTTGGTAGAGAAGACTTTATTTATTAGCTAAAAAACTGGACAGTCTCCAGGCATAAAACAGTTTAGATAAACTCAGGTTAATAAAGCAAATTTATCTCATTTGACTTGAGAAAACACAACTAAAGAAGAGTTCCATGTGAACTCCCTTATAAAATTTAGGAAAAGTCGGGCAAGATAAATAAAAAGGATTATCATATCAAAAACAAAGAACAGAAGGGTGAAGTACAATAACATTTTCATGAAAATTATTTTAGAGCTTAGTATTTCTAAAAGTATATGTATTTAAAAAGTATACTCAAGTTTTGATTGTGAATTAATGAAAATCTGAAGCTTAAAAATAAGCGGCTAAGCACATGTCTGCCAACCAAATCCATATTTATTACTTCTAGTTTGTTCACAAAGACCACAAAAACTTGGTAAAAAAAAACCACATACATGGGGCCCTGCACGATAGTGTAATGGTTAAAGTCTTCGCCTTGCACACGCCAGGATCCTATTTGGCACCGGTTCTAATCCCAGTGGCCCTGCTTCCCATCCAGCTCCCTGCCTGTGGCCTGGGAAAGCAGTCGAGGACGGCCCAAAGCCTTGGGACCCTGCACCCATGTGGGAGACCCAGAAGAGGCTCCTGGCTCCTGGCTTTAGATCGGTTAAGCTCCAGCCGTTGCGGCCACTTGGGGAGTGAACCATTGGAGGGAAGATTTTCCTCTCTGTCTCTCCTCCTCTCTGTATATGTGCCTTTCCAATAAAAATAAATAAATCTTTAAAAACAAAAACACCTACACACCCTGATCTATCCATTGGTTTATTTCAATGATAACAAGAATCACAGAGGCGCTGGGGGTTATCCTTGTAGTAAAAGCTAAGAATAGGTAATGATAAAGCTATTCCTGACCATGCTTTCCAAATATCCAAGCTGACTACATACTTCAGTTGAAAGTTACAAAGGCACAGCTTAAATTACATAAATCCTTACCAAAACACAGGAAAAAGCAGATTCAGTTTTCTTGAGACTTTAACCATGATAGTTACTATGAAAAATTAGCTACAATATTTATTATCAAATACTAAACTCTTCCTTCATTAAATTATTTAGTTATCATCCACAAAGCACTATAAATCCATATTTGAGTTAAAAAAAAAATAACTCAAGGAGCATTAAAGGGATCTTTTATGCTGGTTTACTCCCCAAATGGTAACAATGCCCAGGGCTGGGACATGTCAGAGTTAGAGGCCTGAATCTCTGAGTTTTTCCATGTGGGTGGCTGGGGGTTGATTTTCCTAAGCACATTAGCAGGTAGCTGGATTGAAAGTGGAGTAGCTAGGACTCGAACCTTTGCTCATACAAAATGCAGGAGTTGCAGATGGTGGCTTATTTGTGCCACAATGTTGGTTCCTCCAAGCAATTTTTAAATCGGTATTAACTGTCCTCCAAAGTCTTTCTTAGATGATATGTAAGAAAATCTGCTTTTTGTTAATAAAATTTATGTATTTTTATTAGAAAGGCAGATATATATATATATATATAGAGGAGGAGAGACAGAGGAAGATCTTCTCTCTGATGATTCACTCCCCAACTGACCACAACAGCTAGTGCTACACCATCAAAGCCAGGAGCCAGGAACCTCTTCTGGGTCTCCCATGTTGATGCAGGATCCCAAGGCTTTGGGCCGTCCTCGACTGCCTTCCTAGGCCACAAGCAGGGAGCTGCATGGGAAGCAGAGCTGCAACGATTAGATTTGGGGCCCATATGGGATCAGCGCATTCAAGGCGAGGACTTTAGCTGCTAGGTCACCAAGCCAGGTCCTATCTGTGCTTTTACACTTGATCTTAGCCAAAAGGCCGAGAAGCGATCTATATGTGCTTTTAAAAAGAAGTCAGTATGTAACACTAAGCAACAGATACCTTCATGAAACTCTACAATCACCAGACTTCTCAAGTTCAGTTTACTGATATTTTACTATTAATTTCATGTACTATATTATATCTTCATGGTGCCAAAACAAAGCAAAAAATCAGATAAAGAAGCAAACCCTATAGCAGCTGGATGAAAAATATAGTAAAAAATGCATAAGTCAGAAAATGTGCCTCTTTACTGCCATATCCACACTGCCCATTAGTCAAGGGCTCCTTTCTAGGGTACTAGGCACAATATCTCAGAAGGGACTAAAAATAAAATACTATTTCTTATAGTCAAAATCTTACATGAAAAGGTGCCTCAGGGAGCTAAAAAATAAGGAAGCCCAATTCATTTTCCTTAGATATCAAGATTAAAGACCCAAGACCCCTAACATTTGAGTGAAAATCAAGAAGATTGAAGTAAAAGTAGAAAGAAATTGGTGGACTTGTGGGGGGAGCCCCTTCCCGATGGAATCTGACGGGGGGGGCCTCAGGCCAAAGCCATGTCTCCTGGCCCAGGAGCAACCATCCCCTCAGGGTGAGCAGCCATGAGGGAAGTGTGGGAGCTGGGTTAATGTCTTAGCTCCGCCCTGCCACCAAAAACTGGCCACAGGACAAGTTGGGGTGGATTCCCAACTTAGGGCTGGGGGCGGTCTTAACCTCCCACGGGGTGGCACCTGTGGGGGGCACCCCTGCCAGACAGAATCCAATGGGGGACTCAGGCCAAAGCCGCCGCCCGCCAGGTGGCGGCTCAGTCCTCGGCTTTGGGTGAGCTCTGGGGTTTTAATGACATGAAATGGCAGCTTAGGGATACACATGAATAAGGCCAGCTTTAGTGAAGGTGAGACACAAATTCCTGGTGATTCCCAGGAACAGGGACTTGAAACTTCAGGGCAAGCATGGGACTGAGACCTGAAGGTTTGGACTGAGCAAACCTTAGCCCATAAGCACGATTGGAAAACAGGGTGGAGCTCAGGACATGTCCAGCTAGGTTTCTGCACCAACTGGCCTGCATGAGCCACAGATGCTGAGCCACAGTGTCTAAGGCAGGTGTCACGACAGGTGAATGGGGCTGTGCTCTGGTCAGAATACAGTTATTGTCTCCTTTGGCACAGTGTGGACTGGGACAAGACGCACCAGGCCAGGCCAGACTCCAACACCTTTCTGGTGTTCTGGAGGACCAGAGTAGATGTGTGACGAACCAGGCTAGGTCTCAACCCCAACTGAGCCATATATGAGCTATATGGGGGTGTGGATGAGCCGTGGCTGGGCTGAAACATCCTACAGCAAGAACCAGAATGGGTTGAAGGCCAGTCAGGAAAAGCCACTTTTCCTGCTAGGACAGGAAGTAAACTGAGTAGTACTGGCACATGGAACCACTAGTATGACTGAAAACTGGTGCTCGGAGGGGTTCTGATGGAGGAACCTGGGCAACTCCTCTGGCAGGACACAGACCCGGCAGGTAAGCACAAGAAGCATGATAGGAAACAGCCAAGAGGTCATGGAAAGTGTTCTACTGGCATACATTTGGCATGGGTCTGGGGCAGACCAGGCTGAATCAGTTCACGTCATCCACTGGCAAATCTGAACGCAGAACAGAGCGTGGGTCGAACCAGGTTTGGTCGCCACAAAAGCAGTACACAACACGGAATGCCAAGGTGAGGTTACCTGAGCCAGATGTGAATGCAGCACCCATCAGCTCACATGAGAACCAGGAAGGGAGGGAGTGGAGCCGACAGGGGAATAAGTGGTGGTTCCTTTGCTGGACAGCTACTCCCTCTGGACAGCATGAGCTGGGATGGGGGCAGACCAGACCAAGCAGGGCTACAACACCTGTGTGCCTCATGTGGACTAGATCAGGGGAAAGCCAGGCTGGGCTGATTATTCCTACTGGTGCAAACAAAATTAGAGTGGGTGAGGATGGTTTCGGCTTAGTCACAGACAGCATCAGCTGGCAGAAGCTGGAACTGGGGGCTTGATAGTGTCAAGTTAAACCACAGAACCACCTGGAGAGAGCACAATCTGGGGTGGGAGAGAACGTGGGAGGGAAATAGTGGGCTCCTCCCTCTTGGGTTACCACTTCCACAGGAGGGCATGAAAACCAAAACAGGGGCTAGGATGGAATGGGGTGTGGGACAGACTGGACTAGTCTGTCACACATACTGGCAAACCAGGGTAGTGGGTGGGCCTGGTTGGGGTTATTGTGGGTCGCTCCAACTAGGCTGCAGCTCCCACTTGTTTATGCGAGGACTGAGTATGAGCTGGGCAGAACCAGGCTGAACTGCAACACCCATTGGTTCCAGTGGAAGACATGGATGGAAACAGAACCAACCCAGCAATTGCAACCACCAGCTTATCAGGGTGATGGACTGTGACGCGCCCTGTACTTGCTGGTACATTCAAGAATCTGGTCTCAGAACACCACAGGCAAGGTTTCTTTGGAGATCTCCCCAACTGAAATGCTGGACTCAGAACCGTAACCAAGATAAGAGAGAAGACAGAACAGGTCAATCAACCACCTCAGCTATATGTTGGCAGCAAAATACTGGACAAATGGAGACTCTATGATGGACTATGTCAATCAGTGGATTCTTCAAAGACCTCATCGTGCTTGGAGTGGCAAGACTGGCAGTGATTCATAACAGTTGAGCTATCAAAACCACTTGAGCAAGAACCTTGGAGCATATCCTACATCCGGGACCTGGGATGATGGGAAATTGGGTGGGCCTTCCCCCTTAATACCCCCCCTTTAAACATGAAGGAAACAATATGGAAATAATAGTCTTACCCACTTTCCTATAGCCCTTGAACCTGTTTACCCTAATAAACTATGTAAAGATTGTATAAAATATAATAATAATAATAAAAAGAAATCTATGTGAACAAAAAATATTTAAAGAGTTCAGGGAAAAACATATTTTTCTACTAAGTGTTTTGTTTTTTGATGTGAAGGAATTGTTTATATGACAGAGTTTCACTGATACAGTACTGGAATTTTGCAAATGAAGAAGAAAGGAGCAAAATATTAGATATGAGTATCAGGACAAACTTTGAATTCTAAGAGCTATAGTATGAGTATGATTTGGTCCCCCAAAATCATACAGATGTTTAATCTGAGTCCTAAATTGATGATACTAGGACAGTGGAAACTTAATCCAATTAGAGTGTTTAAGAGGGGCCTAGTGAGGGGTCTTACAGGTCATTGCAAGCATGGTCTTGGAAGTAATTCTCACAAGGCGTAGAAAAAAATCTGAGATGACCCCAACCTCCTCCTGTTCTTGGCTTGTCGTGATACTTTCTTTGCAAGGGCTCTACCCTTACCAGATATCAAACCAACAAAGCAGCTCATTTAACTTTAAAAACCATGAGCTAAAATAGACCCTTTATCAAGTCAGCTGCTTTAGATAATCTATGCATAGTAATGAAAAATTTTTATTTTAGTATTATTATCTTTTTAGGATACAGTTCCATAGGTCCTGGGATTTCTCTTATCCCCTCCCTAGCTGCTCCCCGCTGCCTCACTGAGTTCCCCTATATCAAGTAATGAAAATTTAATACATCAAATTAAAAGAAGTAGAACCATCGGTAATACAACAGGGTAATGAAGTGGTAGTGTGAAATGACTGAAAGTCAAAGTGAGGTAGATCTGTTACAATAATGATGAACTAAAGGTTACAGTCAAATAACAGTATAATTTAATTTGAGATTTCAGAAATGATGAGGTATTGATCTACAGTATGATCTAAAATATAACTTGGAACCAAATATCTGGGTTGAAATAGAAGTTGGGGAAGAGATCAAGAAACCAAAAACCCAGGATATCAGATGAATCAGTCATCTATGTGGATTTTGTACATTATTGAAAATGACAATGTGAAAGCCAAGAATGTGCAGCAAGAAAAATGATGAGCTTGGCACCTCAATCTTTGGGACCCAAGCAAGATTGAAGACATTATAGATGTTTATAAAATTTATAACTTGTTGCCTAGAAGGGAGGGGAATAGGAATGAAACATGATAAACTAGCAAGATGAATTGCTATTTTTTCCTAATTGACTATTACTTTGCCAATCAATAGTAGTAAAAAATATATAAATATTGGAACTGGCATTGCAGGACAGCGGGTTAAGTCACCATCTGTGATACTGGCATCCCAGTATGAGTGCTAGTTCAAGTACTGGTCAACTCATTTCTAATCCAATTCTCTGCTAATATGTCTGGAAAAGCAGTCAAAGACACTTTGGAGCTCTGTTTGGAGCTCCAGACTTTTGGCTCTGACCTGGCCATGCCTTGGCCTTTGTGGCTATTTGGGGAATAATTAAGCAAGTGGAAGACCTCTTTGTCTTTTCTTCTTTCTCTATGAGTCTGCCTATCACATAAAATAAATAAATCTTAAAAAAAGAAAGAACTATCCTACCTATATCTATAAGAAACAATCAACATTCAATTATTATTCTTTATAATTACCTCTTCATGTTTAAGTTTTGTGTAAAAAAGTATAACTCAATTAGGAAATAGTATTTTTTTTCAGGCTAACACCTTTGTAAGCAGCAGTACGGCTACTTGGATATTTGGCCATAATCAAGATCTCAATTATTAATTTGTGGAGCAACTGTTACAAATAAGAACAAGGGAGAGTTGAAGAAACTGGCAATATTCAAAATAAACTTATGACTTGATAAATAAAACATAAATAAAATTGCTTATTCAATCACAGAAATATCAAGTGTTTGCAAAAATTTTAAGTACCAATATTCTTTTGTTTTATGTGAAAGAAGCATTAGGACATCATATCTGTCCCTTAGAAAGAATGAATATTATTAAGAAAATGATTCTATCGTATGTGAACAATAAGTCAATGAGCAGTTAAAAATAGATAATCTAAGGAAAATATACAGATTTTAACTATAATCTGTATTTGTCTTATAAGGATTAGTGTCAGTGGTAGATTTTGACAGTGTTAACATCGAAAACATTATCATTTACAAAAGGTATAAAAGTGATTTTATATAGAATATCTAAAAAAATTCTGTAATTCCAAAAAGGAACATCAAAAGCGAATGTACAAGAAAAATATTTAAGATTACTTTGGGTTCCGTTAACTCAACACACAAATAAATCTTTTGTTTTTCAATCAAAACAAACATCAGTGGTTTACACATTGTGACAAATATGTCACAGTAATATATTAACAATAAGAGAAGCTGTACTGAGAACTCTTTGTGCTACTTCACAATTTTTGCTTTGTATACTCAAACCTACTCTGAAATTTTAAAAGTTTTTGAAATGTATGTTTAAATCTCTTTCTAAATTGTACATTAAAAAACTGATAAAAACCACCAATGTATCTAAGAACTCTGATATCAACTCGATTCAAATAAATGGAACAGCATACAAATATGGTTATGTAATATAGTAGAAGTACCAAAAAAAAATACTAAGAGTACATATTAACTGTTCTCATGAAGCTGAGATTTTAAACTCTGAAATTGAGAAATATTAAAACCAGTATTCAATATGTAGTCTATAAACCAGCAATACTATAAACATCAGAATCACTATGACAGCTAACAGAACTAAATTACAGGTAAAAGCAGTTTCTTTGCAAAACCTCAAAACAACAAGAAAACAAACAAAAAAGTCTGTATTATTTTCAAATACTCCTTGGTAACCAATGTCTTACACGCTGAAATTAACTAGTACAATAAAATAGTAAAGGTGAAAAGATCCCTCCCTTCCTTAATAGAAAGATTCTCAAAAGTTTTTTAAAGCTACTACATTAAAATGCTTAATATATTTAAAAAGTATATTTCATTAAAATGTATCTTATCTAAAGTAAGACAAACTTAAGTAAATGCAAGCAGGCTGACTTACAGTTAGTGATATCAGGTGGTGCATAGCCATCATTCATATACATACTTGTGGGTTTTGCCACTTTCAAATAAACAAAATCAGATGTATTCTTTAAGGCAGTTACTGCTTCCTCGTGAGTAACTTCTTCCAAACACACACTATTCACCTGAAGAAAAAAATTCCCAATGATGATTGTTTTAAGACATTCTTTCTGATTTTTGCTATCAATAATTATACCAAAGGTAGGGAAAATAAGCAATTTAAGGAAGTAAAAGTATGTGGAAAGAAAAAAAATGATTTTTAGAGAAAGATTTATTTTAATTTTCAAGGCAGAATTTACAGAGAGAGTTTTTCATTTTCTGGTTCACCCCCCCAAACAACCAGAGCTGAGCTGATCCCAGGCTGAGCTCTCCCAAGTCTTCCACATGAATGCAGATTCTCAAAGATTCAGGCCATTCTCTGCTACTCTCTCAGTGACAGGCAAGCAGCTGAACCTAAAGTACAGCAGGTGGGATACAAACTAGTATCCATATGGGATGTCGCCATTACAGGGCAGAGGATTAGCCAGATATGCCAGCATGCCAGCCCTAGGATCTGGCATTTTTGATAGTCCATGCTATTTTGAGAGGAGTTATACTGGGTAGTAGGTAGTCAGGGTATTCTGGGTCCCCAAGTCATTTTTCCTAAAATATAAATGGATATTTTCCCCCCATGTCTTGGATTCACCAGAGTGAATCTCGAAGACAAGTGCATATCTTATCAGAAACATACTTCCCCAAGAGACAAGGGCGACATTAACATATCAATTCCCCACCTGAAGCCATTCTGTCTCCTGGTCATAGCCAAAGGGGAGGGCTTCAGACTTGCCTCATTAGAAAGGGACCAAGGAAGTTGGCCAGTGACACCTTTCTGGCCATTTGTCCCAAGGTCAGGTACCATGGAAACCAGGAATTCGTTTATGGAAAAACATATTTGAGGGGAACCTTTAAAAGATGCTTTCCGTTTGGGCCTAGCGGCGTGGCCTAGCAGCTAAAGTCCTCACCTTGAACGCACCAAGATCCCATATAGGTACTGGTTCTAATCCCAGCAGCTCCACTTTCCATCCAGCTCCTTGCTTGTGGCCTGGGAAAGCAGTCAAGGAGACCAGGAAGAGGTTCCTGGTTCCCGGCTTTGGACTGGCGCAGCACCGGGCCGTTGCACTCACTTTGGGACGGAAGATCTTCCTCTCTGTCTTTCCTCCTCTCTGTATATCTGACTTTGTAATAAAAATAAATAAATCTAAAAAAAAAAAAAGGTGCTTTCCGCAGCATTAATATGGGTGGTTCTTGTCCTTCTGCCACTATGGCAGAGGACTAGGGTCTCTTTTTTTCCACTATCCCTCCTGCCACTATCTCAAAGCCCCCTCCTGTTACTAGGATGGGAGCCTCTCTTCTCAACTTTTCTAATAAATCTTGCTTTAAAACTAAACTATGTCTGCATGAAAATTCTTCTTTCCTGCGAAACAAGAATTGAAGTCGCTGCCATATTCGGGGTCAAAAACCCTACAACACTATCAGGAAACTGTCCACTATGACTAGTGAAATTATTTATATACATGTTAACAGATTTGCCAATCTTGATTTTTTTTTTTTTTTGTTTCTCTCCTATGGCCCAGACTAAATTCTCTCTCACATGTAGGTACTTGGGAATGTGTGTGTGGCAGTTTTTTAAGTTTTTGGGATAATACATTTTTTGTTCTGCAAACAGTCATTTTATATTTGATATCTTATGGATTGCTGTATTTTGAGACACACACAAAACCAATGCATTTTAAAAACTTATAATACTTCCACAGTGCGATTGTATCAGAATTTACTAAATCATTTCTAAATTAATACTTAATTTTTATTTATATTCATTTTCATTTGAAAGGCAGAAAGAAACAGATTGATCTTTCAACTGCTGGTTCACACCATAAATGCTTGACTCAGCCAAAGGGGGGCCATGCCAGGCCAAGGCCAGAAGCCTGGAATTTCATCAGGGTCTCTCATGTGGCTGGCAGGGATCCAAGCAACAGAGTTAGTACCTGCTGCCTTCCGGGGTATGCAAACTGGCACCTCTATCTGGGTTTCCTGTATAGGTGGAAGGGACCCAAGAATCTGACTCATTCACTGCTCCCAGTATACATAGTAGAAGGAAACTAGAATTGGAGAAAGGGGCCAGGAATGTGGACATAATCATGAGTGCTTTTTAAAAAAATATTTTATTTATTCGAAGGGCAGTTATAGAAAGTGAGAGCGAGACTCAGATATCTTCCATCTGCTGTAGTTGGGCCACACCAAAGCCAGGAGCTTCTTCTGTGTCTTCAAGGTGGGAATAGGGACCCAAGCACTTTGCCATCCTCTACTGTCTTCCCAGGTACATTGGCATGGAACTGGATTGATGGGGCAGCTGGGACTTGAACCTGTGCCCATGTGGGATGCTAAATCACAGGGGCTACTACTATGTCATGTTTCCATGACTAGGACTGATGTTATAATGGAATGTAACACTGATTACAAGCAGTAGTTTGAATTTTTCTTGGAATTTGTTCATTTTATCTGTTTCAATGTGTTGGCATAAGTTGTTCAGAGTATTTTGTTATGCCCTTTCTCACTCTTAAACAATTTCTTACTCATTTTGCTTTTTTAAGCTTTCTTTTTTTCTTCTTGGCCAGCACAGCTAAATTTCTGTCAATTTTTCCACTATCTGTTATTAATCTTTTCTTTTTATTCTTTTTTCTATTAATACAGGTCTAATCTTTAGCAGTTCCCCTCCCCTTTCATTTAAAGATTCATTTATTTTTATTGGAAAGTCAGATTAGATTTATGGAGAGCAGAGACTGAAAGACCTCCCATTTGCTGGTTCACTACCGAAAGGCTGTAATGGCTGGAGCCGGGCTGAAGTCATGACCTTGTTCCAGTTCTCCCACATGGGTACAGGGTCCCTAGGCCTTGGGCCATCCTCTACTGCTTGCCTAGGCCATAAGCAGGGAGCTGGATGGGAAGCAGAGCAGCTAGGACACAAATTGGTGCTTTCAACAGGAGGATTTAGCCACTGAGCCTATTATTTTCCCTTTTATGTTTACTTTAGGTTTAGACTGCTCCTCTCTGATAAACATTATTTTGGGGGTGGGGCAAATAATGCTTCTGCTTTAAATTACAGTGTTCTAAAATTTTTTTTTAAGATTTATTTATTTATTACAAAGTCAGATATACAGAGAGGAGGAGAGACAGAGAGGAAATCACAGAAGCATAATTTTCCTTGTTGGTTATTAACATCGCTTTGTAGAGCTTTAGCTGGTTATTTGTACAATATCGGCATGCAAAGCAAGGATTGCCTGCATTTTGAAATATATTATGATATATTGTGTATCTGCAATATACTGTTTCTTTGATGGTCTGCAGTGAGCCAAATCCCCTGTTATTCCCATCCTTGTAAAATCTCATTCTTGGGACACTGCGATGTCACAATGAACTAAACTCCGCTTGAAACACTCGTGTTTGGGTCTCGGTTGCTCTACTTCCAGTCCCTACAAATGACCCTGGCAAAGCAGAAGGCAAAATGTAACTTGCTTGGCTAATGAACTACCTTTAATAAATTAGATAAAACAGCTATGGTGCAATGTAAGGGCTGATACAGGATACACATTAAGGGTTGTACTCTGTGAGTCTAGTCACCAGCCTGTGAGGAGCAATGAGAAAGCACTGCAGAAATAAACATCTAGTTAACTTCAAAAAATTCCTACTTGATAGTCACACCAATTTACCTGTAATTTGTGTGAGCCAACTTAGAAGTAGACTGTTTGGTTCACATTTAGCCCCGTTATTTGGAGCAGAGGCAAGTGGTTGCTACTGAATACTATCCAACTTACAGAAGTACAAGCAAACATATGATTACTATTGGTCACTAATTTTTAATTTTTTTGTTTAAATGCAGTATTACACAATTAAAATAAGAGCCGACAAAACTTTCTATGGGATTCAATGCGGCATATAAAGAGGATGTCTTTAAATACTAACACCCAAGTAAAGTTATGTGATCATTAATCAGAGTTATGAATTTTTAGGTTAACAATTAGTGATCTTGGAAGTGAATACTGAAAATGTTCAAATACTGAGCCCTGGATCACTTCAATGTAAGAGGTAAGAGAGATGAGGATATACAAGGGAGAATGAGGAACGACTTGGAGAGAAAATAAGCATCAAGACAGAAGGTAACCATTAGGCAAAATGAAATAAGGAGTGTGTCAAATGCCAGAGAAGCCAATTATGATGGGGATGGACAACTACACAATTTCAGTGTGTTTATGAGAACAAGAGCCTCATTAAAATGGATTCAAGAGAAATAAGCATACTGCTACTGGAGATAGAATCAACACAGACTTCTGGTTCTTTATCACCAAAATTTTTCTGGGAAACCATAATGGAAAACATGTTGTGAAATGGAGGAATCTGAGTTCTACCTTGGTGGCTCGGGTGACAGCAGCCCTCCACTGTAGGGGTGACCTGCTTGCGGGGAATACCTGGGCCAGGTCAGACCCAATGACTGGGACTCAGCCCATGGGCACCGTTGCCACACTGTGACCGGGGCGTAGGCTTTGGGACCAGGTTCTGCCTACTGGCCACCTGGTGGTGAGCTTTAAGGTTTTTCAGGGTATGTGACTGCTGCCTAGGGTCATCCAAGGATAAGGCTAATGTGAGAATAGGTGAGGGATGAATTCTGTGTGATTCCTAGTGATGGGGTCATGGAACTTGCTTGCAAGCCTGGAGACTGAGATCTGAGGGTTTGGAGGGGAGATCCCATAAGTTCTATTTGGGCCAGACTGATTCACCAAGTAACATGGGAATCCTGAGATGGGCTGTTAGTGTAGAACATCACTGACTGCCACACACCAGTCCACAAAAAAGCTATGGATGGGGGCCTATCTGGCAGGGCTAGGTATCATCAGTGCCTGACCCAGTGGCGGAACAGGGGATGGGTCACACTTGGCAGGGTCAGGACAATAATCAACATGTGAGAACCAGATCCGGGGATAGATTCTGTGGGGGAAGTATGGGCCCAACCCAGTGGAAATGCAAGTCCCATTGATTAGCTCGCCAAGTTGGAATGGCAATGGGCTGAGCTAGGTGTGACCATGGAACCTGCCATCACTCACGGGTAAAGGAACCAACAATAGTCTGGGCAGGTCAAGGCAGCAGTACCCGAATGTGCATCCTAAAACAGGATATGGGGTAGGCCGAGCTGCAACTGGAAGGGGGTGGACTGGGCAGGGCCAAGCAAACCTTAACTCACAAGCAAGAACAGAAATCAGAATGGAGCACATGTCATGCTGAGCTAGGTTCTTATAATGACTGGTCTGCATGAATCAAGGATACTAGGACACAGCAACCAAGGCAAAGGCCAAGACAAGTGAGGGGCTATGTTAAGCTGGGTCAGAGTAACCACTGGCACGATCTATGGTTGGAAATGAGCTAGATTAGGGAGCTAAGGAGATACCCTAACGGGGGAGTGGGGACTGCATTCTGGTCTGGTCATGGCTGCAGTCTCCCTTGGCACAAGTGTAGACTGAGACTTGACGCACCAGACTCTGCTAAACTGCAGCATCATCTGGTGCCCTGGAGGGCCAGGGTAGATGTAGGATGGACAAGATAAGTTTCAGCCCCTAACGAGTCATGTGCGAGCTGTGTTTGGGTATGGATGAGCCTTGGCTGGGCTGAAACATCCAACAGTAAGAACTGGAATGGGTTGAAGACCAGTCAAGAAAGGCCACTGTTCCTGCTAGGACAGAAGGTAGACTAAGTAGGACTGGCTCATAGACCCACAGGTATGTGTGAGATCTGGCAATGGGAGAGGTTCTGATGGAGGAGCCTAGACAACTCTTCTGACAGGACACAGTCCCTGCAGGTGAGTGCAAGAACCATAACAGGGAGCAGACCAGACCAGGCCAGGGAAATGTAACCACTGGCATGCATTTGGCATAGGTCAGGGGCAGACCAGGCTGAACCACTTCACATTACCCATTGGAGAATCGGAACACCAGAACAAAGTGTGGATGAGGCCAGGTATGGTTGTAGCACATACCAGTGCACATTATGGCTGGGATTGGATGCCTGGTGGGCTGGGCCTAGGCTATAACCCTCACCAGCATTAGCTGGAATTGTGGGTAGGCCAGGCCGGGCCAGGCTAGGCTACAACACCCAACAGAAAATGCTAAGGTGAGGTGGGCCGTACCAGACTGGGCCGCAGTGCCCAACCAGCACACATAAGAACAAGGGAGGAGGGTGGCAAAACTGGCAGGGAGAATGTGGAAGGTTCCCCTACTGGACAACCACTCCCACTGGAGAGCGTGAGTTGGGATGGGGGCAGACCAGACCAGAAAGGGGTACAACACTTGTGGGCCTCAGGTGAGCTGGATCAGCAAAAGCCAGGCAGGGGTGACTGTTCCTACTGGTGCAAACATTAGAGTGGGTGAGGGTTGGTTGGGCTTTGCTGCAGCATCAGCTGGCAGATGCTGGCACTGGGGCCCAATTCTGTTAATTCAAATGCCAGAACCACCTGGACAGTGCATAATCTGGGAGTAGGAGTGGCCTAGTAGGGAGATAGTGGGCACCTCTCTTGGGGTTACCACTCTCACTAGACAGCACAAAAACCAGAACTGGGGCAGGGGTGGCTAGACAGAACAGCACATGCCAGTATGTGTTTGGGCTGGATAGTAGGTTGGCTGGGTTGAACTAGGCTTCAATGCCCATTGACAAGCATGAGAGCTAAATGGGATGTGGGACAGACTGAACAAACCTGTGGTACATCCTGGCATGCATGGGAACCAGGGTAGTGGGTAGGCCTGGTGTGGGTTATGGGGAGTCGCCCCAACTAGGCTGTAGCTCTCACTGGTTTGCGTGAGGGCCGAGTATGAAGTGGGCAGGATCGGGCTGGACCACAGCACCTGTTGGTTCAAAGTGGAAGACAGGGCTGGAAAAAGAACTGACCCAGCAATTGCAACCACCAGCACAGGCATAAGCTGATTAGGGGTGATGGGCTCTGCCGGACCCTGTACTGGCAAGCACACACAAAAATCAGCTCTGGGATCACCTCAGACGAAGTTTCCCTGGGGATCCTTCCAACTGAACTGCTGATCTCAGAACCCCAACCATGAAGAGACTGTGTCAGCCAGTGGGTTCTAGCTGTTTCTGGGCAGGGACTGGGTATGGCTGATGTGTTCTACATATTTGAGAGCTGTAACATTTTCTGAGTCATTTAGACTCTGAACTTCTAAGCCCTAACTTCTGAGCTCAGAAGGGATTTGTGTCACACAGTGGAGGGGTTGGCTTCCTTAGCACCTGACCAGAGGAGCTGGTAGGGAAGATATTCTATTTAACAATCAATAGGCTATACTTCATCATGAAATCATGGTCAGGGGCCAGTGTTAAGAAACAGGATAAGCTTCTGCAAATGATGCTAGCATACTGTATCAGAGCGGCTGCTGATACGAAATGCTGGTGTTACAAGTCAATGTGCAACAATGTTAGCTCCACTGCTATGCTTATGATTCAGCTTCTGGCTAATGCATCTGGGAAGGCAGTGGAAGATTGCTTAAGTACTTAAGTTCCAACCATCCATTAGGAATACAAGGATACAACTTCTGGTTCCTGGTCTTGGTCTGGTCCTGATCTAGCTACTGCTAGGGGAGTAAAATAGTAAAATCATACCATGTCAAAAGATACAATATTTACTATACAGTTTCAGAAAATGTTTTATAAGTATTAAAACACTATGTATGGTAAAAACCTTTTAAAAAGTTTCCCAAAAAAGACTAAACCAAATATTTAGCTGTACATTATGATTAAAGAATTTTTAAGAAACAAAGGAGTAGGAAGCACAAAATTGTTGATGTTCCAGTTTCTAGGAGATTCACTTTATAATAGTTCTCATTATATTATAAATTAATGAACTAAAGTAAAATGAAAGAGGTCTGTGCATGAACAAATAACGACTCTGTGTTATAAATCCGATTTTTATTCAAACAGTTCAGTGCATTTCAACAACCTAACCTGTAATAAAAAAGGAGAAAGAAAAGGAAAAAGAGGGGTAATATAGAAAAAGTGACAAAGTAACACAAAGATTTATTCTTCAAAAGTTTTGATAAAGCAAGGCAGTTGTCACTCATTTAAACATCAAGGAAGCTTTTTAAAAGAATGTAGAAAGTCCAACGTCTGTTAACACAAATAAGGACATCAAAATAATCTTTAAAAATAATAAGTATCTTAGACTTACTGCTAGAAGTTTATCTCCAATCTGAAGTTTGCCATCCTTATGTGCTGCGCCTCCTTCAATTATTTTGGTGACATAAATGCTATTATCCCCAGGAATATGCTGATTTCCAACACCTCCGGCAATGCTGAACCCAAGACCTGCTTGGAAAACACTGGTTTTAGATTCATATCAATAAATATGAACTCAGAAAGAATCAGTTGATAATCAAAAGGCAATAATTCCATCACACTAATGTTTATTATTTCAATTTAGCTATCATTTTAAAAATTATAAATATTAGGCCCGGCGCGGTGGCACAAGTGGTTAAGGTCCTCGCCTTGCACGCCCGGGATCCCATATGGGCGCTGGGCCCAATAGTTGCACTTAAAATACTTGATAGATTAATTACATAAAGTCAATACCAATATTACACAGGACTTCAAAGTGTTCAAGGAAATTAGCATCTCATTATTTCATCTTTTTGGAGGCTAAAAGTCTGTCTTAACAGACCTAGCACAGTAGTCTAGTGGCTAAAGTCCTCGCCTTACATGCGCCAGGTGGACGCTGGTTCTAATCCCGGCAGTTCCAATTGCCATCCAGCTCTGTTTATGGTCTAGCAAAGCAGTTGAGAATGGCTCCAGATCTTGGGAACCTGCACCCACATGGGAGTTGTGGAAGAGGCTCCTGGCTCCTGGCTTTGGTTTGGCGCAGCTCCAACCATTGCGTTCACTTGGGGAGTGAATCAGCAGATGGAAAATCTTCCTTTCTATTTCTCCTCCTCTCTATACATCTGACTTTTCAGTAGAAATAAAATAAATCTTTTTTTAAAAAAAGTCTGTCTCTACAATGATACTTAATGTCATATCTAACTATTCCAGAGTCTGTTTTAAGTTAAAACTACTGGAGACAGATTGTGGAAGTTTGGAATATAAAAATCAATAGGAAAAGCAGGTGTTTGATTCAATGGTTAAACTGCTCATTGGAATGCCCCACGTGGCTGTATTTGCATCCCGGCTCTGCCTTCAACATCAATCTTTCTGCTAATACAGACACAAGCAGCCAGCAGGCAACATCTCAAATAATTAGATCCACGCCATCACCGTTTTGGGAAACATGAGAGAACTGGCTGAATTCCTGGTTCTTAGCATTAGCTTCCTCAGGCACTGCAAGCATTTGGAGTATGAACTATTAGACAGGACCTCTCTTGCTCCCTTCTTCTTTTTTTTTTTTTAAGATGTTTATTTATTTGAGAGCTACAGAGGAAAAGAGAAAAAGAGAGTGATGTCTTCCAAAGGCAAGAGCTGAACCAGTCATAAGCCACAAGTCAGAAGCTTCTGGGTATCCCAAGTGAGTACAGGTACCTAGGCAGTACTCCACTGCTTTCCCAGGCACACCAGCAGAGAGCTAGATTGGAAGCGCAACAGCCTGGACTGGAACCAGTGCCCATATGGGATGCTGGCACTACAGGCAGAGCTGTCTTCACCCTCTAAACCACAGACCTGACCCCACTCTGTTTCATAAAACCAAACCAAACCAACAAACTAAATAACCCACATAAAATTTACTTCCATTTTCATGGAAAATGAAATAAAATAAAGATGTATTTATTTTGGTGAAAAAACTTGAAATTTAACAAAGCATTACAAAAGAAGCTGTGCATGGATTTTTAACTTTCCTTGCACCAAAGGAACTGATCTTTTGATTTTTTTCTCATGAATAGAAGAGAAATCCTATGTGTTCATAGCAATAAAATGTGTAATAGTGTGTGTGTGTGTGTGTGTGTGTGTATAAAGTTTCAGATATTTTTAAATGTTGTAGTCTTAGTAACACATTCTTTAGAAAATATATTTTTGAAAGGCAGGATCAGGTGGATGTAAAGGAGGGCTCCAGTACTTTAATTCACATGGAGGCCTGGGCCACTGCTATGGCTTCCCAGGGTCTGCATTAGCAGGAAGCTGGAATCAGAACCTGGAAATCAGACACTCTGATACAGACATGGATGTCTTATCTCTGAGCCAAATTTCCACCCCTGTGATGTTGTTCTCTTTACACAAAATCATTAAGACAAAAAAAAGAGAGTATAAAAATTACTCAGGTTCTACAGGTTAATTAATTACTAAATTTGAGATTATTTAAAGTGTTCTTAATCTTGGATGAGTGACATTACATTCACAATTACATTTACCTTAGCTATCTCTTAATGGTTTACTTAGTTTGGTTTATCACATACCTTTAGGACCCTTAATGAGCTTTATTTCCATTATTTTCTCTGATACTGGTTTCCGTCTTTTAACATATAAGCGTACAATAGAGCCTGCTTCTTTCAATGCTTCAACTGCTTTACTGTGTGTTACATCACGAACATCTACTTCATTTACCCGTAAAATACAGTCATTGACCCTGAGGAGAAAAATTAAAAATTAAAAATAAAACTGGATGCTAAAAATTGCAACATCAATTTTACATTTTTACCATTTTAAAATTCATTTTCTAAGGAAAAGATAATTTTTTTAAACTCCGGGATATATAAATTAAGAAACTGAATATGAAACTATATCAATTACTAATATAAATACAAACAAATATCTCCAAATGGTTAGCCATGGAAGTAAAACAATACTGTAAATGGAAATTATATAAAAATATTAAATAACCATAGCTACCATTTATGTGCTTATTATGTGGAAGCATTAAGATACTTTACAAAAAAAAAAAACATTCATTCAGCATTTAGCACAAGCTCGGTATTTCCTTAGTGCTTCAGCCCAATAGCAACTTGTCAGGCAGATACACATTTTTTTGTTCCCATGTTATAGATGGAAAAACTGAGGCACAGAGAGTTTAAAGGGCTTTTTCCCAGTCACTTGAAAAACAAGTGATAGAGCTATTTAGTCAAAATTTACAGAGGTGGTACAAAGTCACAGAGATGGTAAGAATCAAGACTTAGCTTAACTTACTGAATTAGCCAAAACTAATTTTCTGAGTTCCTTTACCAATCAATAGTCTAGAATTAAAATAATGAAGATATTTTTTGACATTTATATAAAGTTAAAAATTAAGAAACATAATTCACATATTTCTTATGTAAGTTACTTATCATTAGATATAATTTAAAAATCTTTATTTTATTTGAAAGAGTTACAGAAGCAGAGGGCATGCGTGAGAGAGAATGCCTGCAGTGGGCAAGCAGTGGGCGTGGTTCTCATAAACATTTATTTATGTTTTCTTTCTTTCTTTGGAGGAAAGAGACTGACTCATCCAAAGGCAGTAATACCTTAAAGTTAGCACTTTACGTCTATTCTAATGAAACAAAGGGACCACAGTCATGTTCATAAGAGTGGCCCACATACAGGCCAAGTAAGAAGGATAGGCATTTGCTGCAGCTGTTACACACACACCCTGTAGCATTGTTGGGCACAAGTCCCAGTCTTATTCACGATGACAGCTTCGTGACCAGGTTCACTCTTAAAGGCAGTAGGTGATAGCTCAAGTACTTTGCTCTCTGCCACCCACATGGGAAACCTGGATTGAGTTCCTGGCTCCTGAGCATTTAAGGAGTAAACCAGTGGATTGGGAAGCCTCTTTCTGCCGTTCAAATAAAAGAAAAAGAAAAGAAAAAAAAAAGAAAAAGGAAAAAGAAAGAAAGAAAAGTAACAAAGTAGAAGCCTATATTTACATGAATGGTCAAATTATTTATTTTTATATCTAAAATTTTATTAATATACCAGTTGCCTTATACTGAAACATACAGAAACTAAAAAGCTGCATATAGTACAAACAGCTTTAGACTAAGATGCTGTTTTATATAAATCATCTAAAATAATCATCTCCAAAACTTCAGGTTGTTACCACATATATATGAAAAGAACACATAGGAAAAATGTCAGAATTGTGGCTTGACGAAAACAATACTCTTTGTGACAGAAGTTTTCAAAAATATAATACTACAATCAACCAGCATTACTTTTGTCTAAGAAAATACAGAGTTTTAAAGTTTCCATACATGTTACTCTTTGTGGCAGGAGATGCAAATTCAAATATATAAATTACACATTTTTCAAAACCAAAAAAAAGTTGGAAATATCCTATTAATATGTATCAAAATAAAAAAATAAATTCATGATTCTATTAGTTTGACCAGAAATCAATTACATTTATTATTTAAAAGCTATAAGCATAATGTATGAAGAAAATTAAATTTCTAAATGAAAAGAAGGAAACAATTCTTATAGCACAATTACCTCAATTGTTCATTTGAATACTGTTAATTATTATCACAAGATTTCTTTACTTATTATCTATCCTTGACAAGTTTGTTTCAAACAAAGCAAATTTAACATGACAACAAATTTGAAAAATGTACCGCAATCTTCCATCTTGTGCAGCTGCTCCCCCTGTGATAATTTTTGTAATGAAAATACTTGAATCATCTCCAATGTGCGGGTTGTCTGTACCCCCTGCAATACTGAAACCAAGCCCTGAATTTCCCTGGGGGAAGAGAAAAAAAATTGAGGCTGAGTAAGAATTATATTACTAATAGTATCCCTTCCCTTAATTAAAAGACTCATGAACCGTACTAACATGGAAGTACAGTAATGTGAAATTTCTAAAAACAACTGGCTAGAAAAGATGGCATTGTTAAATACAGTGCTAATTAAATGTGGATATTCTTAAAGAAAAGACATATGAAACAGATTCTTTTCTGCCTGAATTGTGACTTTCAGTTATTTTTAGATGAGGAGGTTGTACAGTAAGTTTCTGAAATAGTCTCTGTTCTTTAGTACCGTTTCCATTTTACAGGGAAAGAAAAGTGACCATGTTGCTAATATACTATGTACTAATTTAAAATCAATGATATCTTACTATTTTATACACATAAAGAAATTTTTAAAAATCAAATTTAAAAAAAAAGAAAGAAAAAACTGAGTAACTCAGTCTGGAAGAGCCCAAAGAGATATTCAGGCACTCTATGTAATGTACCATCCTGAATGGGACCCTGTAAGAGAAAGACCATAAAATCTAAGGAACCTTAATAAAGCACAGACTGCAGTTAATGTATTAATACTAGTTCAAATACACTCTGGAAATGTAAGATGTTAACAATGGGAAAAGCTAGGACTAGGGTAGATACGAATTCTCTGTACCAACTTCACAACTTTTTTATAACCAAAATTAATAAGAAAATAAAAAATTAATCTTAAGGAAAGTTACTAAAGAATGGAACATGTTCTAAAACACCATGGTTAACCATATGATACGTAAACTCAGGAAATATTACAAATTCCTGTTCTCAAAGATTTTCCTTTGAATTCTGTATGAAAGCAATATATTTAAAACACCAAAATAGAATAATTAACAGTTCGTACCCTTTCAAGTGTGATTTCTTCATACTCATAATCTGCATCAGTACCATTAACCTAATGGGAAAAAAGAGAATTCACTCAGAAATTTGGAATGCAATAGCTGAAACGGTAAGTCACAATTTTCGTATGGTTTATTAATGAAAACCCATCAAATGTGACTGTAATCAAATAACTTTAGGGAAGTGTTTCAGTGAATGTAAGAGAACAAATGTGAGTAAGGAGTTCACATCCACAGTATCATGACTTTCGTGTAAAATAGGTACAGTTAACCTTCAAGATTATTCAAGTTTTTTATGCTGCTTTGATCCAAATATTTAAATCAATTGCTGACTCATGCTGATATGAATACTTTAACTTTTCTATAAACCATCACCATTTTATTCTTATTTCTGATACTTTGATCTAAGCTTTGCTATCCTACTCTGGTACACTGCCAATGAAGACAATCAACCCAACTGCTCAGATTAGTATTTCTCAGTACTCAAATAATCCTCTGTTTTAAATAGATTCTTATTTTTAAATCCCAGGCTGGTAATACATCTCCAAAACTTTGAGAAACTCCTATTCTCCAGAAACTTCTAAATTTCTTCTCTCAGTGATCGAGGTTCTCTCTATGAACCAAGAAGAACCCACTAGTCACCACCATCCTTCCCAACATGTAATTCTCACCTCTTAATGCTCTTTATATAACATATGAACTTGAAAAAATTACTATTTTTTAAAGAGTTATACGGAGAGAAGGAGTCAAAGAGAAATTCCATCTGCTGGTTCACTCTCCAGATGGCTGCAACAACTAATGTTCGGCCAGGCCAAATCTAAGTGCCAGGAGTTTCATCTGGATCCTTCCACTGGGGTAACGGGCCATCCGCTACTGCTTTTCCCAGACTGTTAGCAAGGAGCTGGATTAGAAGCTGGAAAATGAACCAGCACATTTACAGAACGTAGGTAGGATGTAGCAACGCAGGTGGCAGATATCACTGTATTATGTTACAACACAGGCCTCCGCACCACTCAATTTTAATGACTTGCTCTTTGTATTAAATATCATGCAATTTCCCACTTCTGCTGGATTTATATGCTATCCTTATCACAAATTCCTTACATGAATTTCATGTCCAAATCGCTATTCAAGATCTTGTTCACTTCTTAGAAACCAGGCATGGTCCCTTTTTCCTCCAATTTATTTCATATTCTCTACTGAATGAAGTAACTCCAACAGACAGCAGAGGCAGTGAAAGGCAAAATGGTCCCGCAATCAGATTAAATCATGCTGAAATCCTTGCTTTAAAATGTTTAGTGATCTGAGGCTGGACCAAAGGCAAATAGGATTTATACTTCTAAAACAATTCACATCTTCTTTCCCACACAGTCTCATCAATATGACTAAATCATGATACCATCATGAGGCCGTTCTGCCTCTCCCCACTCCACTCAGACTGAGCTAAGTCCTGTAACCAGGATATAAGTAATGTGGTATCAAAGATGCAGTGTGGTTTCTAAGGTTAGGTCATATGGCACCTCACCGTGTTTTCACTTGGTCTCAGAATGTATGTTCTTAGCAGAATGTAATGACAGGAAACTTAAGACTATTGGGAGAATCAAAGAAAGAAGCTCCAGTTACATGTGTGAATGATGCTATTTTGGATTTTCTATTCCTTTTCAATGCCCCAGTCAATAATATATAAAGCAGAATGATACAGAAAAATATGATATGATGAATTTTTCTTTTAAGTCACAAGGTTTTAGGATGGTTTGTTATGGAATGAAACATAATCATAAAAGAAAGAATAAAACCTAAGCAAACTACTTTCATTTTTTCTTTATAAGAATATAAATCTTAAAACACGACTTTCCCTTGGAGGCCTTTTTGAAACCCATTCTCGCCTGGGTTGTTAATTCTTGTGTACCCTGGAGTCAAACCCTGCTATTCTACAGCTCATCTGGATACACTTTCATTTCATTTTGGAGATTGTGCTAGGAAAGCCTTTTTTAATGTATGATTTCTGTCCATCTAGAGTATAAGAGGGTTATACAAATGTCCGTTTTGTCAACTTGGGCACAAGTGCCTTTATGAATAAAAATAAAATTATTTGCAATTATTGCCGTTTTTTTCATTTTAATGGTTTTGCTTAGATTTGCTAAAAGCTTAACAGTCTTTTTAAAATATTTATTTAATTCTATTGTAAAGTCAGATATCTAGAGAGGAGGAGAGACAGAGAGGAAGATCTCCCATCCGTTGATACACTCCCCAAGTGGCCACAACGGTTGGAGTGGCGCTGTCCTCGACTGCATTCCCAGACCACAAGCAGGGAGCTGGATGGGAAGTGGGGTCACCAGGATTAGAACCAGGGCCATATGGGATGCCAGCCCATGCAAGGCAACCACTTCAGCCACTAGGCTACCACGCTGGACCCCTGGGACTTCAGTATATAAACAAGCACATTATATATTACTACTTTCTACTTTTATTTCTAACAAATTATTACTTCTTTCGATTTTATTTAAAAAGCTCTTCTTTTTTGCTCATCTTTCATTCAATGCAATTCCAATCAAAATCCCAATGACATTCTCCCAGATAAGGAAGTGATACAAAAATTCATCTGGAAATATAAGTCTATTAATAGCCAAAACTACCCTGAAGAATAAAAATAAATCTGGAGAAATCACAAAACAGTCCAGTACTGGTACAGAGACAGAGATCAAAGGAACAGAATAGAAACCTAGAAGTGAGCCCATGCATGTACAGCCAACTAAACTTCACTGAGAGCACTGAAAATAAGCAAAGGAAAAAGTTTGGTCTTTTCAACAAATGCTATTGGGACAACTGAAAAACAGCCTGCAGAAGAAAGCAGCAAGACCTCCACCTATCTATCACCTTTCACACAAATCAGCTTAAATCTAGGAACCATCAAATGATTAGAAAATAACACAAGAAGCACTCTACAAAAATAGACCTTGGTAAAGACTTCTAAGAAAAGTCAAGAAAAGCACAGGCAGTCAAAGCCAAAATAAACAAATGGGATCACATCAAACTAACAAGCTTCTTCTGAACAGCAAAGGAAATCAACAAAATGAAGAACATTTAAAGTGCTTTATTCATTTTGAGTTGATTTTTGTATTTGGGGTGATTTTAAGTGGTAAAATTCATTCTTCTGCATATGGCTATTCCATTTTCCAATATCATTGATTGAACACATTTTCCTTATACCACTGTGTGTTCTTAGCCCAAACAGCACATGTGATAATCAGAGGGAGGAGGTAAACCCAGCAAGGGGGATGTGGAGGGTTCTACTACTGGACAACCACTCCCACTGGAGAGCGTGAGTCGGGATGGAGCAGATCAGACTAGGCAGAGCTATAACACTTGTGGGCCTCAGGTGAGCTAGACTGGGGAAGGGCCACGGTGGGCTGACTGTTGCGACTGGTGCAAGCAAAAATGAGACTGGGTGAGGGTTGGTTGGGCTTAGCTGCAGCATCAGCTGGCAGATGCTGGCACTGGGGCCCAATTCTGTCAAGTTCAAATGCCAGAACCACCTGGACAGTGCATAATCTGGGAGTGGGAGTGGCCTAGTAGGGAGATAGTGGGCACCTCTCTTGGGGTTACCACTCTCACTGGACAGCACAAAAACCAGAACTGGGGCAGGGGTGGCTAGACAGAACAGCACATGCCAATAGGTGTATGGGTTGGATAGTAGGTTGGCTGGGTTGAACTAGGCTTCAATGCCCACTGACAAGCATGAGAGCTAAATGGGATGTGGGACAGACTGAACAAACCTGTGGTACATCCTGACATGCATGGGAACCAGGGTAGTGGGTAGGCCTGGTGTGGGTTATGGGGAGTCACCCCAACTAGGCAGCAGCTCCCACTGGTTTGCGTGAGGAGCCAATATGAAGTGTGTAGGATCGAGCTGGACTACAACACCTGTTGGTTCAAAGTGGAAGACAGGGCTGGAAAAAGAACTGACCCAGCAATTGCAACCACCAGCATAGGCATAAGCTGATTGGTGTGATGGATGGTGTTGCAGACTCTGAACTAGCAAACTTGTGCAAGAATCAATCTGGGATCACCTCAGACGAAGTTTCCCTGGGGATCCTTCCAACTGAACTGCTGATCTCAGAACCCCAACCATGAAGAGACTGTAAGCCAGTGGACTCTGAATAGGTTTCACTGCGATTGGAATGGTGAGATTGGCAGCAACTCAGAACTGATGAACTATCAAAACTGCATAAGCAGGACCCTTGGAGCGCGCCTCCTGTTGGGGACCTGTGATGGGTGGGAGGCTGGCTGGGGCCTTTTCCCTTTGTTTCTCCCCTGTCCTAGATACAGGGAAGAATAATAATATTAGTGTGGAAACAATGGTATTACCTACTTACCTGTAACCCTTGACCCTTTGTACCCTAATCAACTAGGTAAGATTATTAAAATATATATATATAAAGAAAAATCTTATCAAAGAGAAAATTAAATTAAAGTAGCAAAATTTATCATTTCTGAAGAGAATAAAGCCGAAAAGTTGAAAAGGAAAAAAAAAGAAATATCATTGGAATTCTGATAGGGTTGCACTAAAATTGTAGCATGCTTCGAGCATATCCATGTTTCAACATAATTAATTCTTTTAATACAAGAATTTGTTGTTGCTTTCTTCAATATTTCATTTTTAGTTTACAGATTTTTTTATCTTTTATAACAGAATAAAATCTAGCCAAAATTCTAAGCATATTACTTTATGATGTTATGGTAAACAGAATAAAAATGATATGTTTATTAAGACACTGTGCTGGTGACAGCATGAGGTAAAATGCACGGATACACTTTTTGTTAAAGTATAAATGAGCACAACTTTATTATAAAGTGCAATTTGGCATTAACAATCAAATCTAAACATACTAAGAAACTCTGATTATGTACTTGTATGTAAACTCAAAAATATATACCAAATTATCACTAGGGCACTGATTTTAAATGACAGAAGGCTGAAAACACTTGGTTACACTAGCATACGCATGCTTACAGAAGGATATATGTACACATTCTAAAATGCCACACATTTTGCTTCCAATAATGGGACATGTAGGAGTTAAGAGCAGGGGTAGAGGAAAAATTCACTTTTTAATTCTCTACATGTGTATATTCTACTATATCAAATTCCTTAATTTGAGGGAAATTTGCAGCTGGAAAAATATGTGCTCTTAGGCAGCCGCTGAGACTTCTATTTTTATTCATCAACACACAGTATTAAGTGGTTAGGAAATTAACAAAGAAATAATAAACAAGTTTAAAAACCATTCTGAAATATGTTTTAAATTTCAGAATTAAATTCTTCTAAAAGCTTAATGTTATTTCACCCACACAAAATACTGCTTTGCCTACAAGAGGATAATTACTACCCAAACATTTAATACCTGTCCTTTAAGTATGATTAAAGAAGTGTTCTTGACAAATCTCAATCATGGAACTGAAACTACTTCCTTAAGATCAAGTAGTTAACACCAGGCTTGAAACCACCTCCAGAGTGGCCATGCACCTGGCAAATCAGGCCTGGAGACTTGTGCATGTTCTTGGGTCCTGGGTGGGTGGGTGGGTGGGTTGGTAGGGTCCAAGGGCCAACACACTAGTATGGCATGCCATTGGATCAGGCCCAAGGGAATATTCTCGAACACCTGGGCTGGTAACCAACGCTTGTGAATGTGGGGACTGTGGATTGCTCAGGGAAAGGGTTATGGGGATGTTTAGAAGCCGTGTCCACTGAGGGAGTATTTTGCAGATGAGGAAGGGCTTCAGGGGAATTCACTTACGGGACCACTTCACTTGCAGATAAGCAAGGGGGCTGAGACCAGACAGTAAGGAGGAGGGAAACCAGAGGACCTTTCTAGGTCAGACCAATGCACCTGCCCATGTCAGGGACTTGAGCTCGGCTAGTTGGCATCAACCACAGCCCAGAAGCACACATGAAAGCTAGAACTGGGTGGGGGGCCTGACTGATAGAGGTAGGCCACAGTACCCGCCAGTGAGTGTTGGAGCAGGGAGTGAGTATTGGAGTAGAGAGTGAATGTTGGGACAGGGAATGGATCACGACAGGCTTAGCCATGATATAAACCAACATGCAGGAGAACTAGGTTTGGGGGCAGATTCTGTGGGGGATTTATTGGCTCAACCCTGTGGGACTACAATACCTGTTGGTTTGCTCGAGGGCTAGGGGTGGTAACGGACCAAGTTAGGCATAACCATGGAACTCATGGACATTTACCAAAACTGGGGTTGGGTATGGGCTGGGTTGGTCCAGGATGCAGCACCTGCAGGCGCTCCCAAGAATTGGGTATGGGATGGGCCATGCTGTAGCATCCACCAGCATACACCAAGGTTGAGACAAGAGAGCCAACTATTCCAGGCAGGGACCTAGCAACTGCTGACACGCATGAGATCTGCGTCTGGGTTTGGGCGTGGTGGGGGGAAGTTGGAAAACTCCCTTAGGGGGTTGTAGCTTCCACTGGTAAGCATGTGAGTCAGAGGTGAGTATGTGCCAGATGGGGCGAGCCTGCTCCATTTGTTCGCATGCATATGGGCTGGCTCAGGTCAGGGTGCGGGGTGAAGGGCTGGATCATTTAGGGCCGGGCCAAAATGAAACACACTGGCATGCTAAGGAACCAAGATGGGATGTGGGCCTTGTTGAGCTAGGTTATCACACCTACTGGTCTTCATGAAAGCCAGGGATAGGGGAGGCTGAAAAGGGATAGGCTGCAACATTTAGCGATGAGAGTTGGGACTTGGGGCAGGTTGGGTCAGGCTGCAATATCTGATGGCAAAGAGCTAGTTGGAGGATGGGCTATGGTAGGCTGGGTCGGGAAATCCACTGGAACGGCAAGATCTGCAGCTGGGAGAGGGCCGGTTTGTGAGCTATAGAGACATCCCAGTTGGGCTGAGGTACCCACTGGTGAGCATGAGATCTGGAAATGGGGTGGTAAACTTGGCTGGATATGGCTGTAGCATCTCTTGGCGTGGGTGTGGACTATGTCTGGGGTGTGCCAGACTGGGCTAGGCTCCAGCATCTACTGGTACTTGTAAGAGTTAAAGTGGGCACAAGACAGGCTGGACTAGGTCTTGGTGAGGTGGGCTGAGCTAAGCTGCAACACCCATAGGTAAATATGAGAACCCGATTGGGATGTACCACAGAGCAGAGTTGTCTGCTGTGTACACACTGGTACATGCAGAAATGGGCCTGGGGCAGGCCTGGTGTTGGTTTTAGGTGTTACCACATTAGGCTGCGGTTGCTGCTGGTGTGTGTAAGGGCCAGGTCTGTGGTGGTCTGGGTTGGGATGCGCAGCAGCACTTGTAGGCATACGTAGGACATGTGGTTGGGTCCGAATTGACTAGGCAACCCAATCATCAGTCTGTACATAGTCTGATGAGGTTGATGGACTGAGTCTGACACTGTACTGGCTAGCACATGCAAGAGTCAAGTCTGAGGCTCAGTGCAATAGCCTAGTGGATAAATTCTTGCCTTGCATCTGCATCAAGCAGGGAGGTGGATGGGAAGCTGGGCTGCTGGGACATGAACCAGTGCCCATCAGGGTTTCTAAGACGACAGCAGGTGGAGATCCGCCATCCCCAAGTACTGATGTACTTTGGCAATTGGGAGCAGTCCCTTTTCCCCTCTTCCTTCCCTAGATACAGGAAAAAAGGGAAGAAAAGGAAAATTGGAAGCATTTGTCCCACCGACTTTCTCCATGCCTCAATCCTCCCAACTCTAGTCAGTAGTCCTCGTGGGCTTTCTCATCAACTATAAAAACAATGTCAAAAACAAAAAAAAAAAATTAAAAAAAGAATTGGCTTGCAAGGCAGAATCACAGCCACCATTAGAGAACTTTTGTCAGGTCATGGGAGGATGACAGAATAAGGAAGTCTAAGCACAGATTTCTCTAGACCTATACCCAAATGATTTACCTGTAGAGCCTTACAATAAAGCTGTACACATTTTAGTCACTTATACAATCTTGAACCATAGAGGTGATCTTGGAGAATCAACATATAAAATTCTTTACTTGTAAAGGAAAGAGGACCTTAAAATAAAATTTTAGAGAAAAGTACTAATTATTTAAAATTAAGAAGCTACAATTTATTATTATAATAAAAACATGCACAAACTTGATCATTACAAGTTGAGTCATTCAATTAGACTTCTAAAACCACTGTTTGACAATAAGATACTGTGTTAAGTGACCACTGGACAGAGACAACTTCTAGTGAAAATTAATAATCATAATTTCAAAATTAAACCATAATTTCTATTAGGATTTTTGAATTGTAAAAGTATAGGAAAAGAAACCTGGGCCAGTATTGTAGCACAATGGGTTAAACAGCTACTGGTGATGCAACAGTTCAAGTCCTAGCTGCTACACTTCCAATCCAGCTCCCTGTAACGTACTTGGGAAAACAGTACAGGATGGTCCAAGAACTTGGGCCCCTGTAAGCCTTGGAAGAGCCAGGACGAGGTACAGGCTGCCAGTTTGGCCCCAGATGTTGAGGCCATTTAGGGAGTGAACTAGCAGACAGACCTTTCTCTAGGAGCTTCCTTTCCATCTCCTGCATTTCTCTAACTCTGCCTTTAAAACAAATACATCTCAAAACGAAAGAAAAGAACCAAAACAGGACAGACTTGCTTCATTTTTATAACAATGACAGACATAGTAAATGTTACAGTCTTAAGTAAATAATGTATTACTGAAAATAATGCTATAATCTTTGTATCAAATCTGAATATGAAAAACATAATTATTACATGTAGGGAGAAAAATGGAACTTACATAAGTTGGTGTCTCTAAGCTCTCTGTGTTGACCAATACTGGAGGAGGATTCGCCTTTAAAGAAAGAATTGTAAATACATTAGCATAATATGAAAATCAAAACATTCACAAATGTTAGACACATATGAATGACTTGATTTTTTGTAACCTATGATTGTATATGAGCTTTATATTTTAAACAATTAATTCACTTTCCAGTACTAAACAAAAAAAATTGACATATTTAAGTTACATTTGTTTTTGTGAAATTTATCTAAGAAATACGTAATTTTCTTACAATTTATAAATAAGTTTAAAATAGCCATCTCTTAAAAATCTATGAACTTATTTTCAAAGGATTTATTTATTTTTATTGGAAATCCAGATTTACAAAGAGGAGAGACAAAGATTTTGCATCGGCCAGAGTGGAGCCGATCTGAAGTCACAAGCCTAGAGCTTCTTCTGATGGGTGCAGGGTCCCATTCTATTTCACTTTCCCAGGTCAGAAGCTGGGAGCTGAATGGCAAGTGGAGCAGCTGGGAAGCGAACTTGCACCTGTATGGGATCCTTGGGTTTTAAGTGTGAGAATTTAGCCACTGAGCTATTGCACTAGGCCTTAGAACATTGGCAAACAACTTCCTAGGCAGCATAGTTTCAAGGATTCTATAATAATGCCAATAATCTTACTGGTCAGAAAAATTCTCCTTTGCACTGAATTATTTGAACATGAAAAGGCTCTCACACAAAGAAATTAACTGCAGGGCCCAGCACAGTAGCTCAGTGGCTAAAGTCCTAGCCTTGCATGTGCCAGAATCCCATATGAGCCCTGGTTTATATCACGGATGCTCCACTTCCCATCCAGCTCCCTGCTTGCGGCCTGGGAAAGCAGTCAAGGATGGCCCAGAGCCTTGGGACCCTGCACCAGAGGAGACTCAGAAGAGGCTCCTGGCTTTGGACTTGCTCAGTTTTAGCTGTTGTGGCCACCTGGGGAATGAACCAGCAGACGGAAGATCTTCCTCTGTTTCTCCACTTGTCTGAATTTCTGACTTTCCAATAAAAATAAATAAATCTTAAAAATAAAAATAGACTGCAAAGTTCTACAAAATTAGAAACATATGCCCAAATGTAAAAGCTCCTGATTATTTCATTACAATTTTGCTCTTAACTGTTATTCTAGACTACTCATAGAAAAACAACAGATTATTATATTACAAAGGCAAAAGAATGTAAATCTAAGTACTATTTGAAAAATCACAAAGTTTTCTGGTACAGAAATGTTTATTATGTAGGTGAAACTGAAGAATAAAATGCACTTACTAAAAAATGTAAAACAACAGAAAATTGATATAATTTCCTCAAAATTATTTCTTCTGCATTTTTAGTATAAAATACCAAGATAAATGGTATTTCACAGAATAAAAATCTGACTCTTCTTGATACTTTAGAGGGTAAGCTTACTAATATTAACAGTTCTCCAACTAGCTAGTCATAAAAATACTGTAAGGGACTGGCACAGTGCTCAAGCTTTCATCTGTGACACCAATATCCTTTATCACAGCACCAGTTGGAGTCTTGACTGCTCCCTTCAGGTCCGCCTTCCTGCTGATGCACCTGGGAAAGCAGACAAGATGGTCCAACACGTAGCATCCTGCTTTCTATTGGAAGAACTGGATGGAGTTCTGGCTCTTTCCGACTTTGACGTGACCCAGTCCCAGCCACTGATATCAATTTGGGGAGTAAACCAGCGGATGGAAGATTTTTCTTCCCTCTCTTTCTTTTATTGTAACTTTACCTTTCAAATAAACAAACAAAAATAGGTGACCATTCAGAGTTCAAATGAGACTTTATTTCCAGCAAAGTGAATGATCATCATAAAATGTTTAAGAAGACAGCTTCATGACCAAACAAAAAGAAAGAAAAAAATAATCAAAAAAATCATACAATAACCTAAAGCAGGTTTTAAAAAGTAGGTAATAATTTGTCATATACATATATACATTAACTACTTCATGTTCAGTCCTACTTATTCTTCTGAATAATTTAGTGAAATACCTGAAAATCAAAAATTGTATTTGTAAATTTATCATTCAAGATTATACATTCAAGATTGTAGTATCAATATCTCAATAACAGGTACAGATCATGCAAATTTATAGTAGTTTACTCCAATTAAAAAATCAATGATATGGGGCCGGAGGCAGTACAAAGCGCTGTCTACACTCCAGCTTCCCATATGGGAGCTGGTTCATGCTGTTGCATTTCTGATCCAGCACTCTTTCAATGGCCTAGCAGAGCAGTGGAAAATGGCTGACGTGTTTGGGTCACTGTCACACATGGGGGAGACCTAGATGAAATTCCTGGCTCCTATCTGCAGCCTGGCCCAGCCCTCATTGTTGCAGCCATCTTGGGAGTGAACCATTTTCTCCATTTCTCTACCTTTTGAATAAAAACATCTTTTTAGAAGATAAAATATCTGTCCTGGAATAAATCACATAATTTTAAATAAGCCAGAGATGTTAAATTTTCTCATATTAAAAAATATGTGAGTCTGATAAAGCAGTAATCTCTAGCTCTAATTCAGCAAAAGTAGGAATGGGACTTAAATGGGTGGCACAATTTGAATAGGTTTGGATATTGTAAAACTCAGAGGAAAAGCTACACCCCAGCATCAAACAATTGACTACTCTAGCAGCAACTCTAAAGAACTGGCTATTTTAGAAGGAAGAGATACAGAACACACACACACACAAATTAGTACTTTCAGATAGGTGAAGTAAACGCAAAAGTTCACCTGGCCAATTTGAGACACCAGGATTTTTACCAATAATGGTGGGGAGCGGAATAGATATGAATTATCAACTTTGCTTAACAAATAATCAAATATAGGACGGAAAATTATTTCAAACAGAATCCCTTTCTGCACCTCCTTCCAGTGACACTGTATCTCAAAGACCTAGGGTTCCAGGTCTCTCAAGCTCACACTGTACCAATCATTAAGTGACATTTGACTATGGGTAAATGACAATCATTACTGAAACTCATTTTCTCCCTTTGTGAAGACCCAGCAGCATCTGTCTTCACCTAAGAGGATAGCCCCCAAAGTACTAGAAAGAGAGCTGTGCAATACTCATGAAATATTTAACATATAATTTGTAGGAGGTCAAGGTAGGCAAAAAAATTCCTGCACTCCAAATACCAGAGATCTGTATCTTAAACTCTGCACCTAGCGGTGCCCGGCGCGGTGGCGCAGTGGTTAAGATCCTTGCCTTGCATGCCCGGGATCCCATATGGGCGCCGGTTCTAATCCCGGCGGTCCCTCTTCCTATCCAGCTCCCTGATTGTGGCCTGGGAAGACAGTCAAGGACGGGCCAAAGCCTTGGGTCCCTGCACCCATGTGGGATATCCAGAAGAAGTTCCTGGATCCTGGCTTTGGATCGGCATAGCATCGGCCGTTGCGCTCACTTGGGGAGTGAATCATCGGACGGAAGATCTTCCTTTCTGTCTCTCCTCCTCTGTATATCTGACTTTCAAATAAATAAATAAATCTTTAAAAAAAAAATAATAAACTCTTAACAAAGCCAAGGCGAATGGTGGCAGGCTGGCACAGGGGATACTACTTGGGACTCCTGTATCCCAAATCAAAGTGCTGATTTGAGTTCTATTCTCTCCATTTTCAATCCCACTACCCACTAACATGTCTGGAAAGGTAGTAATTGATGGTACAAGTACTTGGTCCGTGCTACCCATGTGGGAGAGCTGTAAACCTGGCTGTTTCAGTTTTCAGCTACTTTAGGCATTCAGAGATGAACCAGTAGATTAGAAGAGTGCTCTTCTCTCTCTTTCTCTTCCAGTCACTCTTCCAAAAAATAAATACGTCTTAATAAGGAAAAATAAGGAAGCTGGTGCAGTGTACACTAATCCTCTGCTTGAGACACCAGTTCATGTCCTGGCTGCCCCACTTCTATTCCAGCTCCCTGCTTGCGGCCTGGGAAAGCAGAGAACAGCTCAAGACTCTTGGGCTCCAGCACTTACATGGAAGACCTGGAGAAAGCTCCTGGCTCCTGGCTTCAGACCAGCCCAGTTCTGGTCATGACAACTATTGGAGAGTGAACCAGCAGATGGAAGATCTCTCTTTCTAACATATGTAAAGTAAATAAATCTTAAAAAATTTTTTTATTTTCATGAAGTTCAGGTTTACAGAGAGAAGAGACACACAGAGAAATCTTCCATCTGCTGGTTCACTCTCCAAATGCCTGCAATACCTGCAGCTGAGTTAATCTGCAGTAGGGGACCATGAGCCTCCTCCAAGCCTCCCACACAGGTGCAGGGTCCCAAGGACTTGGGCCATCCTCCACTGCTTCCCCAGGCCATATGCAAGGAGCTGGATGGGAAGTGGGGCTGTGGAGACTAGAACTGGTGCTGATAAGGGATGCTGGTGCTTGCTTGGGCAGGAAGGATTAGCCCTTGATCTCCCACACCTGTCTCAGTAAATAAATCTCTAAAAATAAAAAAAGACATAGTACTATAGATTTATATCTTTTTTTAAAAAGAGAAAAATGACAAAGAAGTTATGACATTGAGTTTCATTACCATTGGACCCGCTTTGTGTTATGCTATAGATAAAAATGAAAAGAACAAAAAGTAACTCAAACCCCCATGATGAAATAAAGATGTCAGTAATGGTAAACTCATAGAAAATCATAAAAGATAGTATAGGCTGAGTATCCCTTATCTGAAATCTTTGTAACCACAGGATTTTACATTTCAGATTTTTGAAAAATTCAGATTTGCTTATATACAATGAAGTATCTTGGGGATGGGACCCAGTCCTAAAACAAGATTCATTTATTTCACATAAACCTTATACACATAGCATAAAAGTAATGTTTAAATTATTATTTTTAGACAAAGACACCTCGAATGTACTGGTTCACTCCTGAGATGCAGGGGTTGGGGCAGGGATGGAAATAAGCGCCAAGAATGCAACTCAGGTCTTTCATGTGTGTGACAGGAACCCAATTACTAGGTTATCAGTCTTCCAGGGTCTGCATTGCCAAGAAGCTGTAGCTGAGGCTGGATGTTGAAAGTCTTAATTGCTAGGCTAAATGCCTGTTTTCATTAAGATAATTTTATATAACACAGAATAATGATTTGAATAAAAGTTTCATGATACCAAACTTTGTGCTTATGATGACGTCCTATAGGTACACCACATGGGTGCAGGTTTTGGATCTTGAAGGATTTTGGATTTTCAGATTAGTGATGCTCAGCCTGTAGTGTAAAAATGGTGTGTGAATTTACTTTCTGCTTTCTCCACAATTTAAGATACATATGTATTTTAAAAACTATTGTGTAAAATTGGCCTAAAAGCTAGATATGAACCTAAAATATTAAAGTCTGATTTGGTAAATAAGTAAAACAAATGATTAATTTCAAAGCTATTATTTTAACTTTGGCTTTTAATTTCGCATTTTGTCTTCTACATAAAGATATTAATGCATTAAAAACCATTACTTCCTTTATCTGGACATAAATGTGCAAGAGAAATTATGTGGTTTCATCTGTAGTAGGAAATTCATCTCTAATAGGAAGAACTGAAATCTGCTACTCACCTACTACATGGAAAAACTAAGGTTTTACAAAGTTCAGTTACTTCCTTACCATCAAACACCTAGAAATGGGTGAGGCTAGGAAGAGGTAGAGTCAGGTCAGAGTACAAATTCTATGTTCTTTCTGCAACTTTAAATAACCAATGGTTACATTCCTCTCTATATATTGCTCTGTATGATATTTCCTACTTGCAGAGGGCTTTCAATAAGTTCTAGTGATATAATCAATATAAAAGAACTATATAAAGTGTTCTACAAATGGTGAAAGACAATATGCTTAAAATACGATCGTTCATCCTGTCTCATTTGTCTGTCAAACTAATTTTGAAGTAAGGTAGGTGTTCCTTCTCATTTTAACAGATGAAGGTTTAGACCTAGTAATTTGTACAAGTGATACAGACAGGTGTATAATCTAAATTTTGTGTTTTCTGCTATTTCTATTATATATTATGCACTGAAAGTAATGGGTTTTTAAGGGAAATTTTGTCAATTTTATTTTTTAAACATTTGTGCTATCCATCTACCTATTTCACACCCATCCACCCACCTACTGCATGACAGAGACAATGAGACACCTTCTACCTGCTGGTTCATTCACCAAATGTTCACAACAGCCAGGCCTGGGCCAGGAGCCCAGAACTCATTTTAGGCCTTCCACCTGGTGGCAGAAACCGAAGTATGTGAGCCTCTCAGGGTGAATTCAAGCAGGCAATCAAATTCAGGCACTTGGATATAAAATATGGGCATCCCAAAAGGAACCTTGACTGCTGCACCAAACACATATCCCTATATCCATTTTAAATGTTAAATTGAATTATATATTTTAAGAAATGCAGAGTTATGGAGAAAGAGGGGAATACACAAAGAGACAGAATGAAAGAACAAGGGAGAGCAAAAGATATCTTCCCACTGCTAGTTCACTCTGGAAATGGCTGCAATGTTTGGCAAGGTGAAACAAAAAAGTGCCTGGAATTCTATTTGGGTCTCCCACACGGGTGGCAGCAGACCAAACACTTGGATCATCTTCTGTTACTTTTCCAGTACAATATTAAAAAGATGGATTGAAAGTGGAAAAGCTGGGATGTGAACCCATGTTCATATGGGATGCCAGCCTTGCAGATGGCAGCTTAACCTCCTGTCCACAGCACTGGCCTCCAAGTAAATTGTGGATTTAAAAAAAAAAAAAAAAATTCCTAGACAAACACATAACCAGTTGTATTCATTTTATAATACATACATTATACTGAATTAGAACACATTATCATTCATGGGTCTCTGTGGTGTATTTAAAACCTGAAGTGAGGATCAGCAAAGCAATGAGCTTTACTTTTATGTATTTATAATCTCACTGGTTTAAAAGTACACCCACAGACCCACACTTTTCTCTGAGGGGGTGGGGGGAAAGAGAGAAAGAGAGAGAAAGAGAGAGAGAGAGAGAAGGCAAAGAGTGTTTCCATCCACAAGAGCATTCCTCAAAGGTTTACAACAGCCAGGATACGCTGGGCTGGAGCCAGGATTTGGGAACTCAAACCAGATCTTCCATGTGGGTGGCAAAGATCCAATCACTTGAACCAACATTACTGCATTCTCAAGGTCTGCTTCAGCAGCAAGCTGAATCAGGTATTGCAACTACCCCAACATGGGATGCAGGCATGCTCACTGGCATTTTAACTGTTGAGCCAAACATGTTTTCTTCACCTTTTGAAAAAATTAATCCTTGGGAGACTACTAACACTGTTTTGTATATTTTACATACATTAATTATGCTATCAACTACTATAAAATGCATTTAGTGAAGTATTACCATCATCTTCAATCCTACAGATGAGTAAACAGAAGCTCACAATGGTTATGAAAACTGTAAAGTTACACAACTAGTAAGCAATAGCAACAGTGGGATTGGTGTGGGTCAATCTGACTCTAATGCCAGCATTTAACTATAAGGCTGTGCAGGCAACAGTTTTTAAGTATAGTGGGATACTAGGTTAGGGATATTTGGGAGTATATAGATGAGAATTCTTAACAGGGAAGGACAGGGTCTCAACTGAAAAAAAAAAAGGCTGGTACAAAACTTCAAAAGATTCTAGAGAATGATTTTATAATATTAAAATGTTCAACCAAAGTGAAAAAGAGTAAAAAAAAATTTCAGTTTCCTTTTAAAAAATATAGTACTATTTAAGCCCTAGGTATTTTGAAAGATGTTACAATATTAAATTACAGTAATCATTATACTGCTCACTCAGAATTATATTTTATTTATAAATTCAATTTCTTCTCTGCAGTATGGAGAGAACACTCATTTAGATTTATCTTTTTACTTCATGCCAGCTTTATATAATAATTTAGTTTTAATGATTTTCAAAAGGATTTAAAGATTATATAGAAGCACAAATTTTACTAAAGTTAAGTCTTTTCACAATATAACTAAAATGTTACAATAAGACTTCATTACTCTCATAATTTCTCCTATATTCCTATTTTATATGATGAGTTTCTGAATTTTCAGGATAGAAAGGGTATTGAGATATGAGTAATCAAAGCTGATTTCTCCTTTTCCCCTTAATGAGATTATTTGTGAAACTAAGTACCAAAATACCTATGCATACAATTATTCACACTTAAAATGAGACTGAGGTTTTTCATGCCAGAGATGATTATTACACTTAATATTCTCATTATGTTCCTTCTGAGTAACTATTGTGAGGTCAGTTATGTCTCAATAAACTGATCTTTGGAGTAACAAGGCTCTGTAAACTAAAAGCGATCATATTCTCTGACATTTAACTTTTAAATGTAACTTTACAATTAACTTTAAAAATAGCATTTTTAGGGCCCAGCACAGTAGCTTAGCAGCTGAAACCCTCGCCTAGAACACGCTGGGATCCTATATGGGAACCAGTTCTAATCCTGGCAGCCCTATTTCCCATCCAGTGGCTTGGGAAGGCAATAGAGGACGGCCCCAAGTCTTGGGACCCTGCACCCATGTGGGAGAACTGGAAAAGGCTCCTGGTTTCAGACTGGCTCAGCTCCAGCCGGTGAAGCCAACTGGGGAGTGAATCATTGGACGCAGGATCTTTCTCTCTGTCTCTCCTGTGTATCTAACTTTGCAATAAAAATACATATGCATTTTTCATTTCAAAGGTTTAGAGTTACAGAAAAGTTGCAGTTAGCACAGATAAAAACAATTCCCATATACTCCAGACGCGTGAGTTATTCTTTTAAATTAATAAGTGGGACACGTTATCTAAAGGACAGAGGAGAAATATTTCCAAAGAAATACATATATATAGGGAAACAAAGTGGTATATGAAATGACACATTCAGTATAAGATTAGAAGTGCAATAATTTTCATTATTTTTAGAAAAGAAATAAAATGTTTTTGGATAAAAATAATTTAAATTTTAAACAGATTTACAAGTGCAAAAAAAGCATGATAAAAATTCTAAGGAGACTGAGTATGAATAAATTTAAAATGTGTCCTGTTTCTAAGGCAACCAAACATTGCAAATGTTGATCCTATTTTCTGTTAACACTTAATTCCCCTCAAAATATCAACTGAAAGTAAAAGTAAACTACTACATCCAACAAAAAGCAGTCAAAACAGTTTAAAAGAATACAAACAAAACATTAAACACAAATGAAATATTTATGAAGAAAAAAAGAAACGAATAAAAACCTGTGGTGTGGTGGGTGGGATGACAGTATTCTCAGCAGGGACTGGCAGGACAGGGATCACAGGGACAGTGGGAGAAGAGGGAGGAACAGCTTCTGTTGGCTAAAAATCATCAATGAGAAAAAATCAGGAAGACACCAAAACAAAGGGAAAACATATAACAGACAGTTGTGCCATAAACTAAATGACTAAGAAATTCGTACAATACTAAAACATACTCTAAGTAATGAGAAAACACTTCCTAAAAATTAAAATAAGTATAGCACCAATAATGCAATGATTCTTTTGTCAAAATTACTATGTATTAGATGCTTAGATACAAATAAATGATAATAATCCCTTCATGCTAATCCCCCTGGGTACAATACCTTGGAATTCACTGTTTTCCTAGCGTTCAGAATACACGATTGATTTTTTCTTTGCATTCAAAGACAGAAAAGGATTCTTAATAACCCATCAGTCAGAAAATGAGGATTTAGAATGCCACAAAGATTCAAAGTGCTTCAAAATTAAATTTATATTAAATAACTGGTGCTAATAACCTTTACTGTCAACATTAGAATCCAGCCCAAACCCACATGTACAGTCATTAATGAATATAATTAAATGTCACTGAATTGTATACTTAAAAAAATGGTTGAGGGCCTGACATGGTAGCCTAATTGCTCAAGTCCTCGCCTTGCACAGGACTGGATCCCATATGGGTACAGGTTCATGTCCCAGTAGCCCTGCTTCCCATCCAGCTCCCTTTCTGTGGCCTGGGAAAGCAAGAGAGGACAACCCAAAGCCTTATGACCCTGCACCCGCGTGGGAGACCTAGAAGAAGCTCCTGGCTTCTGATGGGCTCAGCTCCGTCCACTGAGGCCACCTGGGGAGTGAACCAGCGGATTGAAGATCTTCCTCTCCATGTTTCCTCCTCTCTATATATCTGCCTTTCCAACAAAAATAAATAAATTCTTTAAAAAATGGATGAAAGGAAATTTTCTCTTACATACATTACATCACAGCACAAAAAATACTACAAATAAAGCCTCTGTATGACTGGCTGTATTACCATTATTACTATTTATGTATTATTTCCACGGGGGAAAAATCTGAATCTCACAATATTAACTTCAAATTAGTAACTTACGTAGTCAATAGGCTGTGACTCTTTGACTTACAAAAAATGTATGAAAAAACTGGATATAAATATGGAAAATTATGTGAATATTGCTTTCTATCTCATATTATACATAAAATAAATTCCAGATGTTTTACCTGCATAATTGAGAGAAGTAAATAAAATAAAATATTATCATAGGTTGGCAATTTATTGAACAGAAAAGTGTATATTGTTGAAGCCTAAGCTGGTGTTATGTGGTATCCTGCTAAATCTTAAGCAGGGTCCGAACATCTGTGTGCATGGAGTAGACTGGAAGTAGCAGCAGCGGCAGCAGCATGGTATATGCTGCTGAAAGCAATGAAAAGAAAAGCGATGTGGCGCCAGAATGTGGCATGAAGGCTGCGGGCCTTGGAGGAAAAGGATATTTGCTGCAACTTGCACAGAGCAGGAATGTGCCTGCCTACGATGGGGATGATGATGGGGCTTGCTCATGTCAAAGGGATTTTGACACATATAGAAAGAGTAACAAGAGCAGGGAGTACAAAGATCCTTGTATCAGAAAAAGAGAATGATACAAGACAATATTAAAATATTCATGGAAAATGAGATCAGAACATGAACTTTCCATAAACATTCTGAAGCCTCCTGATAAAGACAGGAAGGAAGATCCAGGGTGCTGAATGAAACTGGAAACATAATGTGCTTGGATATACTCAGATACACATAAAAAACAGAAGTGTGTGTATACTCCCTAGTCCTGCCCATGAGAGGAACAAGAAACAGTTAACACCTCATCAGAATGAACATATTCAGCACTTGTGACCAGACTGCCAAATACACAGTCTTCAATTAAAAAAAAAAAAAAAAGAATAGGAAGAAGAGAGGTCCTTGTAGGAATGTCAGTTAAGTACAGGAAAGGGGTGCAGACTTCTCACTGAGCCAGAAAATAAAGTGCTTGAGAATGATGCGAGGATGACCAAGGACACAGAAGGCAGTTTAAAAGGCTGCCTGTGGGCAGAGAGGAACAATCTGAGACTCAAGTAATGACAATGGTAGCTTAAAAACTGAGTAAAGAATCTAACAGTCCACACTGATATTAAAAAAAAAGGAGATAAAACATTTCTTTTTAACAGATGACAACTAAAAATACACAAGGAGTGATAGATGTATCATCTGGCAACCACCATAGCAACAACTCATTGAAGAAAAAGCAATAGATGTTCAAACTTCCTCTGGTTGCAGAGTGAAACTTCATTTCAGCAAGTGTATGTGAAAATTCACTCTTCAAAAACAAGATCCTCCTGTTACACTCCATGGAAATGGAGTGGAAGTGCATAATAGCAAAACCAAAACAAAACAAAATAAAATCCCCCACAACCAACCAAACAAAACCACTCCAATCATGGTCATGGACACCTGGCTCTATGAACTATCTCACAGAACTGATTCAGTCAGCCCTACTTTTTTTTTTTTTTTTAATTTTTTTATTGCAAAGGCGGATATACAGAGAAGAGAGACAGAGAGGAAGATCTTCCGTCCGATGATTCACTCCCCAAGTGAGCACAACGGCCGATGCTATGCCGATCCGAAGCCAGGAGCCTCTTCTGGGTCTCCCACGTGGGTGCAGGGTCCCAAAGCCTTGGGCCGTCCTGGACTGCTTTCCCAGGCCACAGGCAGGGAGCTGGAAGGGAAGCGGGGCTGCCGGGATTAGAACCGGCGCCATATGGGATCCCGGGCATGCAAGGCGAGGACCTTAACCCACTGCGCCACTGCGCCGGGCCCAATCAGCCCTACTTTTTAAAATTACCTTTATTTTACAACTGGTAGAACTGTTAACTACATAGCAATTACATAGTAACTCACGCTTGCTAATAAGAACTTGCTAGCTCCTGCAAGCACAGCTAATGAACTCCATTCAAAATCACGTGCCATACAAGAGTTTCAGTCATCAAATCTAACATTTTTGATTTCCACTTTCTGATAAAATATATTGAAAAAATTTGATGTAAAAAACATACATATTAAATATATACAATGTGATGAGCGTGGACACATATATGTACTCATGAATACAGCATCACATTCAAGGTAATAAACACAACCATTGGGGCTGGCATGATAGTTCAACAGGCTAATCCTCTACTGGAAGTGCTGGCAGCCCATATGAGTGCCAGTTCATGTCTCTGTTGCTCCACTCTCCATTCTGCTCCCTGCCTATGGCCTGGGAAAACAGCAGACGATGGCCCACGTTCCTGAGATCCTGCATCCACATGCGAGACCCAGAAGTTCCCGGCTTCAGATCAACTCAGCTCTGGCTGTTGGGGCCATTTGGGGAGGAAATCAGTGCAAGGAAGCTCTTTCCCTTTGCCTTTTCTCTCTGTAAATCTGCCTTTCCAATAAATAATTTTTCTTAAATAAATACACTTCATTATCTCAAAAAGTTTCTTCATGCCTCTCTATTGCTACTATTTTGCTTTCGTTATTTAAGAAAATAAGAATTTGTCCCATTTTTATGATAAACTATAAATCCTTTAATGTTATACTTAAACTCAATTGCAACCTTCTGTCTTTGAGGCTTCTTACAGCATCTATTTTCCTTAGATTAAAATCTAAATACTATTTAAATAAACTCCTAAATTAACCTAGATCATCTTAAACCATCTCATTCTCAAGAGGGCACTAGGCAAGTACTTGTTAAAAAAACATTTGCCTATTTCTTAAGGAACACAAATACTTAAAAAGAAATGACAGAGCATCACAAATGATTTCCAGCCCAGAAATGATAAAAACCTCTTAACAACAACAAAATTACAAACCAGTAAAAATAATTCAGTTAAAAAATAGTTTTAAACAAATAATCAAATAACAGTAGACAGATAAGCAACAGCATAGATATCAAAGCTGATACAGTAAAATTAAAGAGATAAGAGGAAGTCCTTAAGCACAGAACTGAGAGCACGGTACGAATCTGGGGAACTGTGTAAGATGGTTCTAAATTGGAAAATGTCAAGCTTAAGTTTCCAATATAAATAGTAAGGCAGCAATATGCAGTAACCATTTGGGTTACTGCAGAAAAGAATAGCATTTTAAATTAGAAAAATCTTATATAACTATTTCAATTAAATGGATAGTAAAGACTGTTATTCCATTATCCTTGTCCTGCTCCATTTGCATCACTTAATAAGATCAGCCCTAAAGAATTTTTTGTTGCTTTTCAAAAAAAAAATCTTGATCATGTGACAAGCAACCCTCTCAGCTGTTTCTATCCATAGCAACACCATGGAACTGTTAGTCTCTGAGGCTGCCTTCTTCAGAGACTTGTTTCCATGACAACAGAGGCTATAATACCAACACTGTCTTGATGAGCACTGCCAAAAAAATTATAAATTTCTATATAATAACTGGACAGATTGTACATATTTTAAAGTATCTTGAAATTGGTATCAATTTGACAACTATTAAAAATGTTTACAATGACTTTTTTTTAAGAGATGGTTATTTTTCCTTTAAAACTTTATTTTACATCTAGTGTAAGATATTCAAATTATGAAACCAGCATTTAAAACACAAGAGATTTTCAGAGAAGAGATACAGGGTCTCATCAGGTACATCCACATTTAGGATCACAAACTATTCTCCCTTATTTTTGTTCTTCAGCAGTAAATATATATGATTGAGATGACTACCTTTATTAAACTCTTTTCTGTTTAAAATAGCTAAAGTGGCTTAATTATGTGCATATAAATCCTGACAGCTATAGGAAGAGATATAGAGGGGGAAACATGGAGTCTACTATGGCTGTGGTAGTTCAGCTGAGATGACGAGAGCCTTAAGCTGAATGACGGTTAACTGTGAAAATGAACATGTGTGATCAAATCAAGAAATATTTCTTAATGTAGAGCTGGTATATTCGTGTGTCTGAGAAGTCAGAACTAAAAGACTGTTAACAATAATACCAATAATGATCCCTAAAATATCTCTTTGATCAGTTAGACCC